AGCGGATCGTGTCTCCTGCTGGGTAAGAGCAGCTTCATCCAGTTGCAAGTTTGCTCCCCCCTCTCTCGGGTGCTGGGTGGTTTTTCTCCCCATTTAAACTACCTCACTTTGCCTCCTTCCAAAAAGCGCTTCTCTGGGCTCTGGACTACTTCTCAGTCTTCATCCAGACCTGCTGCAGCACCTGTCCACTAGCATCTCCTGCTTTCTGAGAAGGTCTTCCCCATTCATTTGCAAGTTAAAGGCATGTTATGAGAGAACTTTCTGCGAAACTCCTGCCCCAAAACCTCTTTCCTTCCTTTGGGGCACAGTCTGAGAGGTTCTTTAGCCCAACAACCCTCACGCATCTCCAGGGGCCAGGCAGCATCTCTGTCCTGCACCACTCAGGTGATGGGACACCCCTACTCATGCAGGACTGTCCAAGGTGTTCTGTGCCCCAGGAGTCATCCCGCACAATGATGAAGAACTCTTTGAGCCTGATGTCTTCTCTCTGCTCCTTCTGACATTTTCCCTCTGGCCTTACCCAGTGGTTCCCTTCTGGCCTTACCCAACATTTTCCACCCCTTCCCATCTCTGCCTGTCCAGCCTCTTTTCTCCTCAGTCTCGCCCAATGCACAGCCTCTGTTGCAGATCCAAGCTTTCTTTGCCTCTGTTCCACTATTTTTTCTGCAGAAACCTTCTGTATGGTTGTGCATACCACCCCCACCCCCTTCCTGTCTCTCCCCCATTCCCTGGCCCTGCACCCCCCACCTAATTTCTCCCTTTAACATGATGCTGATGTGATATGAACCCAAGTCACTGACTGGTCATAAAACAGAGGGAGAAACAAAACCTAATCAAATATTTAGGCATAGGTCTTTGATAAGACCTCTATGCTTCTCATGGCTCTTTAGTAGTATCAATAAACCTTTGCCATTCCATTGCCTGGCAAGGGGGAGGTTTTTCCCTGCAGGGATTTGGGCTGCTCTCCTGGTCCTTCTGCCTTGGGCAGCATTTCATCAGGGCCTTGCCCAGCCATAATTTTATGGACAGACCAAGGAGAATGCAGCTCCTGCCTTTCCCCTGTCCAACATGGCATGAAGGTTGTGTGGAGGCACCCCACAAGCTGCCCGCCAGTGTCCACTCAGGGTCAGGGAGCCCAGAGCCAAGCACCATGAGGGAGCTTTCCTCAGTTTCACTACTTTCCAATTAAAAGTCCTGCTGAAAACTGGCTCAGCAAGCTCCACACCCTCTCTTGCCTTGCATCAGTGGTAGGAGAGGCTGTGGATCGGCTGGACCGCAGCACAGCATGAGCTTGTATCTGACTAAATTAAGCATGTGGTGCTTTCAGAGGATAAGGGGGGAAAGCCCAGAGTCTCTGCCCCGGAGAAGAGGTGGAGGCAACACCCAGGCATGAGATAAGCAGAGATGAAACGGGCACCCTGGATGTCTCTGTGCCAGCTGGTGGCTGTCAGGCTTCCAGGGAGATGGGCAGCTCCCCTCAGGGTAGGAGGTTTGGGGTCAATCGCAGCCCCAGCTCCTGGCCAAAATGTTGCTGACGACAGAAGTAGCCAAAGGGACAGAGATTATGCCACAGCCACATCTCAGCAACATTTCCTGAGACAGGATCTGTTCTGACATCTCTTCTCTGATCTGCCATCCTCTTTGTAGACCTGAGAATATCTTAAGGGATGAATTGAAGAGACTGTCCCAGGATTTAATGAAATCTAATAATAATAATAATGTTAGTGTTAGCCCAAACTCCTTGTCACCCCTTGGACCCAGGAAAGACGGTGTGAATCTGGGTCCAGTACTTCAGCAACATACTTTCACTCTTCTCTTGAGGAAGATACATCAGATCTTGCTTTTTCCTGAAGAACTGAAACTGTATTTTGATTTAATTCCTCAAAGAAGAAATGTTCTTAGATCCTAATGAGATTATCCTAATAACAGTGTAAAATAGGTCACTATATTGTCTGCCGTAGAGAAAAGAGCATATGATTTATAGATGGGAAGTGTATGCTGCATAAGTAATTACAAACTAAAATGCTAAGATGAGTAGTGGCTTCTCTCACGTTTGTTGTGGTTGCTTCCAAAAGCTCTTATTTCAAAGATGAGTAACACTGTGGGTTTTCTGGCGCGCACTGCAAGTGTGGACCTGACACTCCTCTGGCACAGGTCCTGTGGAGCTAGGCATTCGGAAATGCTTGCTGGGACATTCAGATGTCACAATTGGACTGTGCCTTCTGAAAATCAGACATGGTTATCCCTAACTCTGCAACCCTTTTTTGCTGTGTTGAAGGGACTACAAGTGCTGTAGTAAATTTTTTTTTTTTAAAAAAAAAGCCTTTTAAAAAAGGAGTAACTGATTTTTGCCTTGTGTCTGTAGTTATAGTAATAAAATCTGGTTTTGCTGATTTTTTTTTTTTCCCCCTAGCTATTCTAAACTTTCCCCCCCATGCCAGCAAGCCTCAACCTTTGGGGCAGAGGCGTTTGATGATCCCTTGAAGCAGTGGGGGATTTGGGGGAACGATGATGCCTTTGGAGAGGTTGCATCACCCCAGCTGCCATCAGGAGGGGCCTGAAAGCTACTCTAGCAATGCACAGGGAGCACTGGAAATAAATGCCCCTCTGCTCCAATTGTTGCTTTTTCATGAAGCTTCTCAGTGAGCTTCGTGAGCCATGAAATGCCTTTTGGCAATGTAACTGTTAGGAGATAAATATTGACATCGGGAAAAAAAAAAAAGAAAAAAAAAAAGTTGTTCATTATTCAATATATTTTACCTCAGGAGTTACCAGTTAGTTTTAAAGACAGCCTGTCACCCCTGTGAAGGCAGGAGCAATACTGTAACACTGTGTGGCCACCGTGGCTAACAGTCACGCTGAGCAATCTGTGAGCAATATCTGGACTGAATCTCCCGAGTGTGGCTGTCTGCTTGAAAACACTCAGGGACAGCAGACGTGTGAGGGGCAGCCGTAGTGGCTTGCCATCGATCCACAGCCCAAACGGGCAGGCTAATGGGGTCCCGTGATGGAGCTGCCATTGATCACTTAGCCAGCATGAGCACTCCCCAGGAACTGGACCAGAAAAGCTATTTATTGAGTAGAAAGAAATGGGGCTTCAAATCACAGTAATTGGGGAATGATTGGCAACAGGTGAAAATGCTTTGCTGCCACAGGAGGAGGCAGGGAAGCAGGGGAGACTCAGTAATGTCAGAGCTGTGACAAGGGGAATGGGACAGGCAAAAAGAAGTGAAGGTGCTAAACTAAAGCACAAATGAACATGGTTCCCTTGCTCCATGTGGTGGCTGGAGCATGGAGGACATTCTGTGCTGGTTTGTGATAAGGAAATAAAGTTTAGTTTAGAGGGAGAGTAGAAATTCCTGGAAGAAATAAGAGAAACCACCCAGGGTTGCCGGGTGCAGAGGACAGGGAGGATTCAGCTGCGAATCCTTGATGGCCATGTCTTGAAGACTCTCTCAACAGGCAGGACAGAGCCAGGGCCCACATGAAGCATTAGATAAGGTCTACAAAGAGAAATGAAAATTAGAAATTGCAAGAACATGGCCGGCTTCATCCCTGTTTGAATACCAGCATTATTCCTGAACAGCCAAGAGTTTACTAGGGCACTTTAAAGTCATGTAAGTAGGTCAGCTTGTCGCCAGAATCTGCTTATCCCCAAAACATGTGAAATTACTTCCTGACGGCCAGCAGATGAGAAGCAGGCAGCAGGGAGACACGTCAGCAGCAGCCCAAGGGCGTATCGACAAGGCAGAAGAGTCCAGAAAGTGCATTTTGCATCTGCCAGTGAACATTTTGCTGCGTGATGCCCAGGTCCAGAGAAGCTGCTCCTTGCAATAGCAATGGTGCTGCATGGCCCAAGGCTCCCCCAAATAGAGTTCTGCCAATGGGCTTATTCCCAGCCCTCCTCTGGGAGGCACAGAGCAGATTCTGGAAAAAATCACCAGTCCTACTTGGTCAACTCTTTGCTTCAGGGTGAGTCAGTGACACAGCCGTGTGCCCGGCCCTTGTCTGGGTGATGTGGAGGTTCTCTCTTCTCTGTGGCAGCAAAAAGTTGAATTTTCCTCCAACACTGTCAGCTTCCAGAGAATTCCCAGCCCAGGGAAAAAGCATCCTGTGAGGCTTGGGGTTTGGCCACTGCTCACCAAAAGGACAATGGTGCTCGGGGGGGTGATGCTCATTGTTGCAAAAGGAGTTTTGCCTCTGCAAACCTCTACAGAGGGATTTGAAATGTCTGTTAATGGGCAAAAAGTCTCATTAGTAGAGGTGATTAGATTGGAGTCTGTTAGAGAGAGAAGCCAATTTTTTTTAACTTAAAACTAAAGACGAGTTAGAACTGTTAGATGTTTAAAATGTTACTTTTGCTCAAGCTGGCACTTACACTGCTAAAAGCAATATTCTTTTCTTTAATGATAAAATAAAATATTGGCCAAACACCTGAGAGGAGCTTTCTTGACAGCCATCTGGGACACAGTATGAAACCAGGAACAAATATTTCCACAGGATTTTTTTATTTTTACTTTACATTTTGTTTTGGTTTTTTCCTCCCCTGGAATACTTTGAAAAGGTCTTCTTCTCATGAAAACAGCCGGCTGCCTGTGGTGAGTAGAGGTAATGGCTGGCAGAGGCTCCCGGGCAGCCCGCCTTGGCCTGGGCAGCATGGCCCCTCTCCAGAGCCCCTCATGGCGCCGGCCATGGCTGTGGGAGGAGGGAGGTGAGCCGCCTGCCTGCCTCCTTTGCCAAGGAGTCAAAACCTGTGGTGTCCCACCTCACAAAAAACATCTCTCCCCTCCTTTTGCCCTGTCCTGGCCGCAAGCACCCCCTGTGCACCCTCCGCCATGCCCAGCCTGGCTCCCGCCTTCGGCAAACAGGTAAGAGCCATTTTGCACGTGTGACAGGAGGTAACGCCGCGGGGACCCGGGGCTTCCCGCCTCGCTTCCCTCACGATGTCCTCACCCTCCTGCCCTCTCTCAGCTCTCCCTTTTCCTGTCGTTTCCGTGCAGCCGGCCGCAGCGGCAGAGACGGGAGGCCCACGGCGATGCCCACAAGCAAGGCAGGTAGGTGAAACCCTCCAGCCATGTCCCCATGGCCGGGCTGAGGCTGTGGCAGGGGAAGGGGACGCCACTCGAGCATGGCAGTCTTTAGGTAGGAGTCGTGCCATTAGCAGGATCCAGCGGGTCCCAGAGGAAGCCGCGTTGCCTGACACCTCATGGAGGTGGCTGTTTTCCACAGCTCCCCCGGGCTGCATGGATTATGTCGCCCATAATGTGCAAGCAGGTGCCTTCCCTTTGAGCATCCTTTCTGCGCAGCTGAGCTCCCCGCCACAGGGTCTCCATCCCACCGCTCGCCCTTCCCTCTGCCACTGCCAGGGAGAAAGTGTCTTTCTGAGCAGAGTCAAGCCTGCTTACAGATGTGGAAGGTTTTGCCAGTGACCTGCTAATATCACTCCCCCATCTCAGCCAGGTGAGATGGACACTTTAATGATGGATGCTCACAATGCCACAGGTCTTTCAGAGGCTGAATTAAATCTAAAGGAGAAGCAGGGGCCACCATTTAAAATGCCTGAGGGATAATTCATGACTAGAAGAACTCACTGGCGGAGGCAGATGACTCGCCACTCCTGTAAATTATTAAACTGAGACTGAGCATCTTTCTAAGGTACTCTGTAGTCAAATAAAGCTCTGGGTTTGAGAGAGGAGTCACTGATAACACCACTGGTCTCTATTAGGAGATTGTTGTATTGGCCTCTCATGGCACAACTGCCCATGAGTGTGTGAGAGGTACAGCATGGCTAAGCAGTCTTGCTTAGGAGGAGATTTGTCTCAGGAACATACTCCCCATCATGTTTCTTTGTTGTCCCATTTTCCTTTAATGTATTTTGGACTTGTCCTATGTATATTCAGACAAGTGCCTCTCTGAACGTGCCATCTTTTCTCAAACTGAGAACCAGCAAAACCTTTCCTCTTGTATTTGAGCCCCCCTGCTGCCCGAGCGGCTGGTGTGTGGCTGGATCTGAGGGCAGCAAAGCTTCACCTACATGATGGGGAAACTGAGGGGCTGCTGCCACCACTACCCCAGCCAAAGCATTGGAGTGTGAACAGCATTTTGCATCTTGAATGTGGAGGAGGAGCAGAGCATCCTCTGCCCAGCATTTGACGCAACTCTAGCAGCTTCTGGAATGACTCTCCCAGGCTCTTTAATTCTCAGAGACCTCCCAGGTCCTTAATGCTCCTTTTTATCCTCGTTAGAAATCTGGGGCAGAAGCTAATCATTTTATCCCAAGTTAGGGGATGGCTTGCCTCCTGGCCTGGTTCCCAGCCTGTCTCCATTTTGTTTCTGGGCAACAGCCAGTAGCTTATATGATATATTTTTTTCCCTAATTCTTGGCCTCATGCCCTGTCATAACTCAATGTCAGAAATGCCCCCTCCCGCCACTTCCATTTCCCCACTTATCCACACCCAACTATTCCTCCAGCCCACACTTTTAAATGATTGTCTCAAAACTGTGCTATAAGCAGAGATAATTTTACAGTGACAAAAAGTCACCAAACAAATGTTTTCTTAGTGCCAGAATTGTCACAGGTGCCTGAGCTGTATGTTGAGTGCAGGAATCATTTTTTAATGACACGCTGCCAACCACCGCAAGCAATCGCACGGCTATAGTCTAAGGGGGAAATGGTCTAAGGGGTAATGGGGCGAAGTGGGCACATACTTTTCCCTGGCACTGCCTAGGACTCATAGCTGTGCTTCTCTCTTCCTGGTAGCCCAATCCTAAAACGAAGCCCTGACATCACCAAATCTCCCCTGACAAAGTCAGAGCAGCTGCTGCGAATAGACGACCACGACTTCAGCATGAGACCAGGTTTTGGAGGTATGTAACGTGCACGTTTGTCACTGGTCCTGTTTTACACTGTCGCTCCTCTTTATACTGTAACATGTAGTCAGGCAAACAAGCAGATTGACAAGCAAAGCCTTTTCTGTCTCTAATTTTTGTTGTTTTGTGTTTTGAATTCGTGGCATGTTCTCGGGGATATGGGTGCAGTGAAATAGCCATCTTCCTCGTACGAGCAAGTAGCGTAGTCAAAGGCATAGAAATGTAATTACAGGCAATATAATATTCCTGGTATTCAGTGACACTTTCTTCTGATAAAAATCTGCAAATACACCTTATGTTTATTCCCAGATGATGGGGAAATCCTAAGATTTGGTCTTACTATGGTGATGTGTGTGCATAATCAAGTCACGTACCACGCTTACTGACCCGGCCACTTCATTTATAACCCAAAAGAAAATAATTTGACTACTGTGTGTTAATGCTTGCTCCCAGTTTTGTGGCTGTGTGCTAGAGCAACCTAAGCTTTCACGGAAATGGATGAAGGAGAACACATTTTCTTTCAGCCTATCGGATTAGAGAATGTTGTAATTTATCTACCCTTTCTGGCTGACAGATGGTCATTCAAATCCAGGATACCATTATATACTCTGATGGAAGAAGATTTTATTGCTAAATGCTCAATACACCAAATACCAGCATGTTCAATTAATTTAAAAAGGTTTCAGTTTCATAGCAGTCTGCTAATGTGAGCACTATTTATCTTGACAGATCTCCTGTGCTGTAATTGCCAGAGGTATGTGAGGGGCTAGTCAAAGCCTGGAGGAGGAAAAAAAGATCGAAACCCCTGTTCCAGGGGGTCACAGCCCAAGCCTTCCCCTTGGGAGCCCCAGGCTCAGTGGCACATGCCTGTGTCCTGTAATGCATTTCCTCCTCTCAGCCCGTCTTTTCCACAGCCAAGCACTCAGTGATGTGAAAGCCAAGTACGTGGAGTAGCTCTCAGGGATGTTGTTAGCCTGAGAGGGGAGCAAAGTGAGGGGAAAATTTGGAGTAACCCTCCCACGTCCCCTTAACTGCACCACTGCTGCTTTCCATACGGAGAATGGATGCCCCAGACCCAAGTGCTAGAGACAGGGCTTTGAAATTTTGAAGGGACGTGTGTAGGGTGACACAATAAAAAGAGAAAGTTAGTAACAGGTCAGTCTCTGTGCTGATTTTGATTGTTATTAGGAGGTTTTTGTTATGAATTCCAGTCGTTTCTATTTTCAAATGGTTTACTCATGTTTCTATTTGTGAACATCTATTTTTACCTCTAAGATAAGAAAGCCAGAGGATTACTTTGTCTCACCACATTTATATTTTCTCATTTTTTTAATTTTTTTTTTTTCCCCAGGCCCTGCTATTCCTGTTGGGGTGGATGTCCAAGTTGAAAGTCTGGACAGCATTTCTGAGGTGGACATGGTAAGAGTCACAGAAGGACTAAGGTCCGATGGGACCTCTGGAGAACATCTAGCCCAAACCCCTGCTGGGAGCAAGGCTGGCTAGAGCGGGCTGCCCAGGTTTGTGTCTGTGGGGTTTGAATACCCCTGAGGATGGACACTCCATAGCCTTCAGCAAGCAGATTTGGGCTTGATCTGAATCTGCCAATTGCTTCTATTGACCTCATGCTACCATTTCATATCCCTTGAAGCAGAAGGAAGAAATCTGACAGTTTCTTTTCTCTAGGACAAAATGACACAACGCTGCCAAGACTGTCCCAAAAGATTTGGGTTTTTACATTTTCTTAAGACGTAGTAACATGTTTAAAAGCTCTGAGGAGACCAATTAATGTGTTAGTTTTAAGACACTTTGATATATTGACCAGTTCTGAGGTGGTCAGGAACCAGGTAGCTCCCAACTAGAAGCCATATAGCCGTCCTAAGAACAACACTGGTTCAGACTGGTAAGTCCTACTCTTGACAAGGCAGCCAGGATGAGCTCAGAGGGGAGAAGCTTCTCCAGAACTTGCCTTTGGTGCATTAGCAGTTGTATCAGCCCTGCTGTGTGCCTGGGACCAGCATAAGGCTCTGTTGGTCCTTCTTGTGTCTTTGTACTGACGCTGAAGCAGGATTTCAGGGGGGCATGTAGGACTAATACTGGTGCTCTGCACAAGCTGAATTCCTTACTAAGTCCCTGTCTTTTGTTTCCTACAGTATAATTAGTAATGTGAAAATGATCTGTTTTCAAGCACTCTCAAAGCAGTGCCGACCTTGATGATTTTTGCTGGTGGCGCCTTTTTCGTCACAAAACACTGCTGAAAGTAAGGGATGATTTCTGCAGGAGATTTTCCACGGGAAGGTTTTCCATGCATGCAGACCCACTCCAATTTTATTCACTCTTTCAAAACCCAGAGCTTGTCAGACCTGCCCTGTCAGAGCATCCCCAGAGTCTCTCAGCAGCTCAACTTCTGCTTGGGAAGAGAAAAAAAAATAATCGCACCCCAATGCAGAATTCTTTCTGAGAAAGCTCCAACTTTTCCCTGTGCTCCTAATTAACAGCCGCAGGGTTAAAGAGACTGCACAATCTCCTCCCATGTCTAAGCCAGGAACATGGCTGTGTGGCAGCACAGCTGGTGTTCACCAGCCACTCTGGTGCCACACTGGGCAAAACCCAAACAACAAACGCACTCATTTTTTAAGCAAGCGTTATGATTTTGAATGACTTGCCCTGGTTTTTGAGTACTGCCCCTGCTCCTCATGTAACATTGTGCTGCAACACCCAGCAACAAAGGAAAAGCACTGAATGGCCTCGGGTAAAAAAAAAATAAATATTCAGGGTCAATTTTGGATGTTTGCAAAATAATGATAGAAAAGACTTTATACTGTCAGAATCAATTATTTTTAACTTCTGCAGCTTTATAGTAAAAGGCCACGGTGCTTTGCAAGATCATTGCTTGCTTTTTAAATGAAGAGACATCAGTGACAGAGACTCTACTAAATTTAAGCTTGAGGAGTTAGATAATATCAGTCGTTCCTTTTTTAATCCTACTTTCCAACTGTTTGCAAGAAAGTGGTAAAATAATAGAGGACATTATAAAACTTCTTTAGGATGTCACAAATCAGATTTTTTTTGTCCAATTAATTTAAAAATTTATGAGTATCTATTATGGGCCACTGACCCTGAAATTAGCAGAGCTTTTGAAGGCTGTGTGGGGCAGCTCTTTTGTCTGGAGGAAAGATGGGAAGAAGGAAAAAACCAGATTGTTACCCAGGATTGGAATTTCATTTCCCAACATAACGGGAGAGCTAATAGTGTCTCTGAGAAACGGCCCAAAAGAAGAGTGAGATATTATATGATTGTTGCTTGAGGCATTTTCAGATGATGCATTGTAAAATACTGTGGTTAGTTTAATAGTCTAAAACTAGTATTAATAAATCTTTCCTAATGAAAGCTGACAATACTTGTTTTTTTCCACAGCAACCGTAAATATAACATGCGAAAGAGTGAGGCATTGATGTCTGTCAATTTATTACTGTTTAAAGGACACATTAACACACAGGAGTCAATGCAAAATGTTTCCCAGAATGATCTTTAAATTTGAATACAGGGAAAAGCCGTTAAAGAGCACTCTAGGATGGATGAAATGAAAAAGAAGAAATTATGTGGTCAGTGGCTTTGGAAGCTTCTGTTGAGCTTCAGAGTTTCTGTCCTTGTTTGAGGATAGTTGAGGAACAATGCTTCTTGAGGAGAAAGTGTAAGGTGTAAGTTGTGACACAAGCCTGTTTGTTGCAGGACTTCACCATGACCCTTTACCTGAGGCACTACTGGAAAGACGAGAGGCTGTCCTTCCCCAGCACCAACAACCAAAGCATGACCTTTGACGGCAGGCTGGTGAAGAAGATCTGGGTTCCTGACATGTTCTTCGTCCACTCCAAGCGTTCCTTCATCCACGACACCACCACCGACAACGTCATGCTGCGGGTCCAGCCAGATGGGAAGGTACTTTATAGCCTCAGGTAAAGCTGCTTTCCATCAATGAGAGCTATTAGTGGAGAGAGAGAGAAAGCTATTTAATTGATTCCCATATTGTGTTTTTGCATGACCTCGTACTGAAAAAAAAAAAAAAAAGAATGAATGTGCTGACTATCCACCAACATCTGAGTTCCTGTGCAAGTTCACTAAGTGCCTGTTGCAGGAAGCCAATTTCTGTGCTAAATTTGCTGATTCCACCAGTGTCTTTTCACTTCACCTGCGTGGTTGGCCCCTGCTCCTGCTGTTGGAAGCTGTGGCCGGAGGTGGCAGTCCCTTGGGGCAACCCACCAGGACCAGCAGGCTGCAGTCCCTGCCAGGCACTGCTGAAGAGGCAAGGTACAATCTAAGGAATTTGCAATCTAAGGAGATTTGCAAATTGTGCAAGTCCTATTCTTGTAGGTAATTATGAAGAAATTACACTGAGCACAACTTTAGCTCTATGATAAGCAACAAAGCAGATGGAACACCCTTCAGCACATGAAGTGACAAGCTTCAGAGCAAGGGCATATAGTTCCTGGTGACTCACATGGATGGCTAGAGCAACCCAAACTCTTGGCTTCAACTCTTCCTGCTTTTTGCTCACATTTCATGTGAAATGCATGAAAGCTCCTTGAAGGGAACATTTTGGGTAAACTTTGTTTTGTCCTCCAGTTTGAGGGGTGATCCCAGCCCTGGATTTCTCCCTTATTTTCCAACTGCTCGATCAGCTTTGAGAGGAACATTGCTGAGTTAAGCCTGAGCATTATTAAACCAGGAATTTTTTTCTTTCTAATAACTAACACTTTCATACTTGGAGATGCTAAGTGAGGAGCGTCGGTCAATCTCCAAAAGCAACTTAAATCAGTGCTTCTGTTTTTCTTGGCTGCAGCTCCATCCAGTAAGAAAATAAGTATTGCCAAATGACCCATAAAAACCTATTAGAGAGGAAATTGCTGTACAATATTCTGATGCAAGAATGTCGACATCACCTCCACAGCAAGGAAATAGCAAAATACATGATAAATAAAGCAACAGATGATAATGTGTTCTAAAGGATAAAAAAGGAGGAACATCTGACTGATAGGAGGTCAGTATCAGCAAGATGCATAGATTTAACTCATTATAAGGTTGCAGAACACGTTGCTTGGGAAGGCTGTGGGGGTCTTTAAGAGCATGTTAGACAGCGACTGAAGGAGTGGCAGAGGTAGAGCTGAACCTGCCATGAGGTGAGGAGATCAACTTCTCAGCTTGCCGAGGTGTTTTATGACTTTATGAAAGGAAGGCAAGCAAAGCAACTCTTGATTCCCTGTGGGGTATCAGTTTGACAAGAATTTTCTTCTTCTCTGATATTTTTATCTTACTGTTCATTGAAATCCACAGCCTGAATAGTGTCTACCTTCTCATTATTAAAGCTTTTTCTTCGCTCAGCATATTAGACAAGGTACAGGTGCTCCTTAGGCCATTGCAAAGTTTGGTCAGGTCCTCAGTCCATAATGTTCAGCTATAGCATGCATGACTATACACTCTTTCATTTAGCTGATAGAAATCATCTGTGTTGCAAGCATTTGTGGTTGTCTGAAGAAGATGGGAACAGAAGAACATCAAACTACTCAGATCCTGCCACGCACAGTCTCCTACTTAAACAATTGTCCTCTACAAAATGGTGGTGAATGTCTTGAATGGCAAATTGACAGAGTTTCATTGTTTTATTCAGTGGTGACTGCGGGTCAGAGTACTTTACAAATGCAGGGATAGTATGAATGCTGGTCTTGCCTTAAGAGCAAGCAGGTCATTCCTGCCTGCCTGCCTTTGCTGAATGCCTTTGCCTGTAGATTACATTTTTCATTGGTGTCTGCCTTTTTAAGGTTGTTTCTTTGCCAGATTTTGTCTGCTCTTGTCTTGGAAACCACTGCAGGCCTCACTGGCACCTAAACAACAAATCTGAGCCAAACGCTTTCACTCAAAGGCTAAATCCAGATAGGAAAGCAACATCAGTGGGAAGCCACACATGCAGAAGGAGTAACATAAGAGACTGCATCTTGTTTTTATCACTCTGTGACAGATGTCTGTCTACCATTAGCCCTACTGTAATTCATTGATTCTTTCCCCATTATGATTTATACTTCTATTTTCATTTACTTCCCTAGCGTTCAGGCCAGTTGAGCCAAGATTTATGGACGCTTCCAGTCCAAACACAAAATCAGGCTATTTAAGATGAGATAATCAGACTATAGCAAGGCCAGAGCTTTTGATTGATGGGGCAGAGCGTTTCAGTGGTCTCTGTTGCACACCAGCTCCAGCCCTAACTCGAGGCACTGCCTGTGCCCTCTGGTGGCTGGTACCCAGGTGTGATCACTGGCTTCTCATTGAGCAGCTGGAAATTCACCATATGCAGAGAAATTACCTGCATCCCTCATGGTATGAGGATGGCTTTGATAAACGTATATTATTTTACCATGCAAAGCACAGATCTCTGCAGAGAGAAGTCTGCTGACAGTCAAAGAGGAAAAAGCACCCTCACTGCTCTTTCCCATTTTTATCTCTTATTTTTTGTCAGCTAGTAGCAATTTGTGGTGGTCATCTTTTTCCAGTCATCTTTTCTAACACTAGTTTGCTGAAGAAATGGCATTAACTTAAGTGGAATGGCTTTAGCTGAATGGAAGGTATTTATTTTCAGTGGTTTGTTACTGTCCAGATGGTTACTTAATAAAATATGAAACTTGCAGCTTTACTATTTTTCAGTCACATAAAAATATAAGTTTTTAACAGGATGGTCTTTATTACTCCTAGAGTTACAGTAACAGCAATGTGCAACATGGATTTTAGTCGCTTTCCCCTGGACACACAGACATGTTCCCTGGAGATCGAAAGCTGTAAGTAAAGCGGAGATGTAGGGGAGCTGAGGGCAGCACGCCATGGGCACCCAAACTTGTTTAATTAGATCAATAATTATACCAATTATACCAATAATGAAACTGCTGCTACATTCATGGGAGCTCTGACCAAAGCAGAATTCAATGCTTATATTTTTTTTCACTAGAAGTAGATGAAGTTTCCAACAACATGGTGTTTTTAAACACCAGCTGTGAGGACTGTCTCGCCAGTGTCCCCAGGAGCCAGCCAGGCTTCCCCACTGCCACCCCATCCCAGGAGGACCCCAAGCTGCTTGCCTGCAGGTCGCCTGTCCCCAGCAGCACCTGCTTTCCTGGGTGCCTTCAAACGCATAAAGAAATGGCCCTGTGCCCCTCACCTGCATCATCTGCAGAGTAGGAACCATGACGGGGCAGTGACATTAATCACCTTCCTCTTACCTTTCTTATACCTATGAGAGATAAATCCATCTTATACCCACATGTACCTCATTTGTCCCAAGTATGACACACACATGAATTGGCTGGATTTCATACAGAGACATTTTAAACTTTTAGCTTTTTAGGATTTTTTTTTTCTTCTCCTTCTTAAGTTTACAATAAGGAATTATAATTTTTATTCTGTTTTAATATATTAATGTATGATTTTTTTCTTGCTCTCTGGGAACAGTTGTTATTAAATCCCATCTGAAAAGATTAATATTACTATATTTCCACATCTATGAAAAAAACCAAGACTTTTCATGTTGGTGTGTGCATGACACACAGAAAGTTTACCCAAGATTTTGTCCTCCCACGTACTGTTAATACTGTTAATAGCCTGTTCCCCCTGTTACCCTAAGCAGGCTTTTTCCTCTAAGTCTCTTTTCCTTTGCTTCTGATTTTAGGATGACTATAAGGGACATTTTTTCAAGTTCTGATGGGTTGCCTGAAGCATGGGTTATGTGTACAAATTTCTGATTAGAGAAGGGTTTACGAATAGCACCAGGCATCAGACCTGAGGTCTGTGACAATGAGCCAGTCCCCTCCTTGCCACAGCCATACCCCCCATCAGTGTGGCTCTCAGCCAGGTGGTGGCATTTGTCCTTTTCAGCCAGGCCCACAAAAGTAAGCTGGAAGGTGTGTGGGCTCACCCTGGGCTGTGGGTGCGACAGCAGCTGGCTCAGTGCACTGCACCAAGGTTTGCTCTGCTCCCCTAGATGCCTACACTGAAGATGATCTCATGCTCTACTGGAAGAATGGGAATGATTCCTTAAAAACAGACGAGCGGATATCACTCTCCCAGTTCCTGATCCAGGAGTTTCACACCACCGCAAAGCTCGCCTTTTACAGCAGCACAGGTGGGTACTGGAGTGCTTGCCAGAGAATGGGCTGGGGAAAGAAGGGGTGCAAACTGTTCCTCTCAACCTTGGCCATGGAGGATTGTCCATTGGGAGGCCTCCTTGTGGCCCGTCAGACCTGCTTCTCTTCCATGCCGAGGCTGCTGTCCCAGACACAGATTTCTATCTTGATGGTTACGTAGTTTTGAAAGGCCATCCCTCTTCAAGACCACACCAAGCCCTAACGTGAATTAAACTCTACTGGTGCATAGGTTATTTTGTCTTCTCTGGACAATGTGGTTCTGAGAAATGCTTTGACTTTGATAGTTGGTTCAGTAAGGAGTCTTTTCTCTTGACTGTGGTCATTACCTGTGTTTTTCTAAAAGCAAATGAGGGGCTATTCCCCTGATGCAACACCACCTTATCCAAAAGTATGATGTTTGGTGTTGGTGTGACTTCTCTTTTTCGTTCTCTCTGTTACACAGGGTGGTACAATCGCCTCTACATAAACTTCACTTTACGCCGACACATCTTCTTCTTCCTGCTCCAAACCTACTTCCCCGCCACCCTCATGGTGATGTTGTCCTGGGTGTCCTTCTGGATCGATCGCCGAGCAGTTCCTGCCAGAGTCCCTTTAGGTAAAAACAATCTTGTAGCCCACAGACAGACCTAAGAGACAATTGCTGGAGCTGTTGCCTTGACCATCAAGACACAATCCCCTGTGCCATGCGCTGCCCTCACGTTGCCCTGTGGCATGGAAATCAGCTGTGTCACACACGTGTCCAAAGTGTCAGTATCCTTCAGAGATTTCAACAAGCGAGAAGGTGAAAATCAGTATTAGCAGCCCTGACAAAACTTTGGTTTTATTGAGTTTTGCTAGAGGAGGGAGGGTGGGGGTAACACCATCAGCTGAGCTGTGCCCTTCAACTGGTTCCATGAGGTTACAGTGCAACACAAGGGATTCAGCTTCCCCCTCTGCAGCATCTTTCAGACAGATGAAGCCATATGTCGAAGGAGTCACTATGGGAACACAACTATGATATGAACATAAATCTTCTTCTAAAGTAATGTTTTGCCCTTAGCAAAGGGCTGATTGTGGTTTTGAGCCTGACCTTGCTTCTGCTTATTCCAGGGAACACACCTCAGGATTTTATTTATTGTTAAAATCCTATTCCTTGGTGGAGAGGATATATGGAGGCAACGGGGCAGTTCCCCATGTCTGTGTTTAGAAACACAGAGCCAGGATAACACCAAACTACAGGTGCTGTAGAGCTCCTTGTGCTCACCCATGGTGTGACGTGGGGCAGCATTGTCCTGTGGGGCCCCATCAGTCTCTGCTCTTGCTCTGGGGGAGGCATGAGAGCCAGCTGGTGACTTCCAATGAAGCAGGACTTCCCGGGGACAGATGGAAAACACAGGCCTGGGGAAAGTGGTGGAAGCAGCAGCGGCAGATGGGCTTTGCTTGTGCCCATCCTGGTGGAAGGGTTGAACTAGAAGCTGAGATACTCAGAATCATAGAGTCATAGAATATATTCAGTTGGAAGGGACCCATAAGGATCATCAAGTCCAACTCAATGTATTTGTACCCCTCCAGGGACTATCCTGAGCCTGGAGGTGGGGTGCAGCAGGCACAGGGTCAGAGTGGGGCTGCCTGGCCATGGGGTGGGAGACTGGTGGTGTGGTGAGGAACCAGGCTAGAAACACCCCGAGGCCAGAACTAGAGCTGTTTTCACCAAAAAGACAAGAAACCCCCAGTTAGAAATCAGGGCTGCCTGGACCCTCCCCAGGCAGTGAAACCCATTGCTCAAACGGGTGAAAAACGGTACTGAAAGGTGAATCCAGATGTCAGGAAACTGTAACGACAGCTGTATTTGTGATGGAAAGTCTGGTTTGAAAGTGTCTTACGGTCTCTCTGCTGGTGCATTCCCAGGGATAACCACCGTGCTGACCATGTCCACCATCATCACCGGGGTGAACGCCTCCATGCCTCGTGTCTCCTACATCAAAGCAGTGGACATTTACCTGTGGGTCAGTTTTGTGTTTGTCTTCCTCTCGGTGCTGGAATACGCGGCAGTGAATTACCTGACGACGGTGCAAGAGCGGAAGGAGAGGAAACTGCGTGACAAGGTGAGGTTTTTCTATCTCTGATGCAGCTTTATCCCCCCGGGAAAAGGTCTGGCCAATGTCTGGAAATGTTCAGAAGTTTGCAACTCCAGAGTGCTGCGCTCAGCTGCCCGGGGAGAAACCAGTGCCTGTAAAAAGACACCAGCAGTGAGGCATTCCGGGCTATAAAGATTTGCTACAGCCAAGCCCCATCCATCTCCCTCTACATACAGTCCTCCACTGCCTGTATGTTAGGATTTTATTCCCAGGTTTCCCAGAATGTTGTGGCTGCCCCATCCCTGGAGGGGTTCAAGGCCAGGCTGGATGGGGCTTGGAGCAACCTGGTCTGGTGGGAGGTGTCCCTGCCCAGCGTAAGGGGTTGGAACTCAATGATCTTCAAGGTCCCTTCCAACTCTAATCATTCTATGATTCTACAGTTTTACCTTTAAATAGTTTTTTTATACTGAATATCCAAACCTGTGAATAGCACCAGATGGATACTGTGTTTTGGGCTCTAGATGACATGGCAGACACCCCCCACCTTTCCCTAGGCACACTCTAAATTTCACTGAATTTCACTGAATTTTTAGAGTTGGAAGGGACCATAGAGATCATCTAGTCCAACTCACCTGCTAAAGCAGGACCACCCAAAGCTTGTCAGATCATGCCACTCAGGATGGCATCCAGGCGGGTCTTGAAAATCTCCAAGGAAGGGGACTCCACACCCTCCCTGGGCAGCCTGTTCCAGGGCTCTGGCACCCTCACCGTGAAAAAGTTTTTCCTCATATTCAAGTGGAACCCTTTATGTTCCAACTTGTGCCCGTTGCCCCTTGTCCTCTCACTGGCAACTACTGAAAAGAGTCTGGTTCCCTCCTCCCTCAGCCCGCCCTTGAGATACTTGTGGGCATATAATAAACTTACACAATGGTCCAAATTTCCCCTTTCTGCCTTCGTTACGTTAAATTATAACCACATTTCAGCCTAAGATCTTTTCTTCAAATGGGGCAAGCCTCATACATTCCTCCTTGTGGTTCCCCTCTGCCCTCTTCTTTGATTTTCTCAACTTGGAGGCCGAGAGGTCCAACGACCTTAAGCCAGACCAGCTTTTCCACAGACAGCCCCGCTCCGCGCTGCGTCTCGCAGACGTGGAAACAGAGAAGGGAAAAGCTGCTGCCCAGCTCCATCCTCTCCCTCTCCCCTCTTTGTGTCCACAGCTCCCCTGTGCGTGCAGCCTGCCCCAGCCACGGCCCATGATGATGGACGGCAGCTTCAACGACGGGGACGTGAGCGACCTGGGGCACTACGTGTCGGAGAACGGGGACAAACAGGACCGGATGATGGTGCAGCTGGCGCTGGGGTCCGAGAGGGGCTCGGGCAGGAGGAAAAACCAGAGATACGTCAGCATGCGCATCGACACCCACGCCATCGACAAGTACTCCAGGATCATATTCCCCGGTGCATACATCCTGTTTAATTTGATATACTGGTCCATTTTTTCATAAATCTATGTGACTTCTGTAGTCGCAGAGCGTTGTGACGTTAAGTGAAAGTACCGGCTCACAGACTAACAGAGAGAAAATGGAGAATTGTTTTAATGAGAAGGAAGATGGATAAATTTTTTTCAGGATTTTTTAAAATTAGATGCAACTCATCTGTGGCATAAATCATTGTGCAAGCTTCACATTTCAGCAAAATATAGGATACACAATCTATAATTTTATACTTATTTAAAGCTGTGCTATGTTCCTTCTTGTGCCTCACAGGCCACCATAAACTATTTTAACAAGTGACTATAATCACCATAATTGCTTATACACGGTGCATCCTCCATTCTGCGCCCCCGAGATCCTGATTCTCTGCACATCCATCTCACAACTCAAACAAACTTATCACATTTGATACCAATAAATACAAAGAATATGCAAATACTTGCGTGTTTGCGGGACGAGGTCAGAAATGGTCATTATAAATGCAAAATATCCTCATGTTGGCGGAGTTATTGCCAGCTAAAGCTTGCTTACACTGCTAAATGTGTGCTGCCAGCTCGGCGCTGGCAGGTCCATCTAGGAACACTGTCAGATTTGTGATCATATTTAAAACCAAGAAATCTTTCCAAGCTGTTTTCTGTGACTCTCCCTTTAAAACACGATTTGCAATGCACACTTGCTAAGGAATGAAAGAGAGCCGGACCTTCTGCGACGCTGACCAAACCCTCCAGGAAACACAGGAGCTCTCCTTCTTTGGGGCAGTTGGAGTTTTGCTGCTGAATTTCCTGGGAGAGAACACAGGTTTCTCAACAAAATGATGCAGTGAAGACAATGGGGCGTCTACAAAAAGACTAAAGCTGCTACAGGAGATGCCACTTCTGAGTCTGAGACGGTCTGGACGTTACTGGTCTGTACAGCCTGAGAACCTGCTGCAGCCTGTAACTTCTCATCCCTGCTGAAGCCACCAGTAATTGCACTGGTCCATCCGTTTTTAGTACAAGCATAATGGAAAGGTGCTGCACAGGTGATACAGCAGTTGTCAGGACTTCATACTATGGATACCACGCCAAAAACTTTGGAATGAAGGCACTTCCACCCTAAGGGAGCAGCTGTGTTACAGACCCTGGTACATCTGACCACCTCTGCTGCCCCTGGTGCCCTGCAGCCCCCTCTGCCCTCAGGGCAGGCCCAGCACCTCCCAGGGCAGGAGCCAGGAGACACAGCTGGACCTGGGCACACCTGGCGTGAAGTCCCAGCCCTCCATCACAGCCTCTTACAGAGTCAGCGTAAACGCTCTGCATGAAAAGGGCAAAATCTGTACCGTAGAAGTAACAAAATACTTCAGGAGAGCAACGGTTGGTGAAATCAGGGGCCTTTACCTTGGGAGCACCAAAGGTGTCTCAGGAAGCATGGTCCTTCCGTTGCTCTGCTGCCACCCACCCGCATCCCCACAGGGCGTGGGGGGGACAGGACTTTAAACCCACGCGTGATTTTGCACACCGTTAGGAAATCCAGCACTCCCTGCACAGCAGAGGCTGTTGTCTTCTACAGGTGTAGCCGCTCCAAGAATCCGACCAAAGCAGTCGTGTCTCTGAAAGGAAAGAGGAGGTTCTGACAGGGAATCTGCCCTGGGCTGGCTGAGGAGCTGCTCTGTGCTCCCCGCTCGTGACACGGACACGGCAGCTGCCTGAGCTTTAATTTCCCTGTAAATAAACAGCACATGAACACACTCAGAGTTCCTCCCCACTGCTCAAACCACCCCCGTTCCTCTTGCACCTACAGCCTGCGCCCCACAGATAAAGGCAATGAAATAACAGCTCAGATCACTAACAGACACCCTCCCCCCCAAGTAAGATCATTTTAGTACTCATTTCTACAAAGCTTTTTTTATTTTTCCACATACACACACCACCTTAGCTTGGTTTTATCAAGTTTTCTCCCTATCATATCATTCTCCAGTGATGTTTGTTCAAGAGATTTAAGAAAAACCACCATATTTTCTTAAACCCTAAACATTTCAGTCAAATGGAGGAAGGTGACCCCAACAAAAGCAGATGAAAGGCTGGGCCACCCTCCTTTACCCCGATGGCACCTTCCCCCACAAATAGCTCGGAGGTTTCTTGGGCACCACTGGCACAGGAATGTATTTAGATTCTCTGTATTGTAAAGAACCCATTTATTTCTACAGTTGGCAGGAACAGGAGTGCCAGATTTTCTAGTAAGCTCTCCAGCTTCCTAAGGAGCTTACCTCTATGCAGTTGGCCACAGCACCGTACGCTCCCTTATAGACTCACTAATCTCACACCACATACATTATTTGGCATCCAACCAGCCTATTCAGGGAGATTTTGAAGACACAAAGGAGAGCTGGACTTTTGCATTCCCTGGCTCTCAGCGCAAGGCTGGTTTTTCATTTCCCATGTAATTTTCAAAGTTCCCCTCCTGGCATCTCCCTAAACAGATTCCCCAACCTCCGTATCTGGATTTACATTGTTAATTTACTTGTGTTTTATTTGGGAAACTCTAGTGCCTTTTCAGTCTTATATAAATGTGTATATAGATGTATTCTATAAGTACAGGATATGTCATGTACAGTCAGTGTTTGCCATCAACAGCTGCACTCATTAAACATATTTACATACACAGCTTGTTGGCTTTTTAACCTTCCAGTGTGTGGTTTCAGATCCAATCATTCACACTCTGCTCCTTTCCATTTCCACAATAAATCAGTGATCTGTTTGGGTTTGGTTTTACTTCTAGAAACACTCAAAATCGCAATAAAACCTCACATTTGTACAACATCGTGTGGTTCCTGCCTTTGAAAGAATGATCTCCGTGAGTTTATACGTACCTGTAGAAACCTATTTTTTGCTCAGGACCTGATGCAGTCAAATACCAAATGTCCTTAAATCCCATGATACTGGAAGGGCCGGAGAGCCCTGGGATGTTGGGAAGCCTGGACCCAAACTCAAGCTGGCCAAGAAGAGGACATTGAGGTCTCCACCCCAGACCAAGCATGTTACAGCCCTTCTCCTATCTCCTTAGGAGGGTACTCTGGAATATAATTCAGGGCAATTTCCTGGAGGTTAAACCAAAGCCTGGGATGATGCTGGGTTGAGAAGCTGAAGTGTGTTTCCAGGTCTGCGTGGATTATGGAGAGACACAAGTCCTGCCTGTGAGCACATAGAGACTAAGAGCTTTGGAGAACGAAGCCCTTAACAGTCCTTAAGGGCACTGATGATCACCCACAGGGTGGAGCAGGAAAGGGGGGAAACTTCAGTCAGGAACAGACAGAACAGTGAGAAGGCACAAAGAAAGATCAAGGATCTCTTTCTTTCTCCCCCAGTAAAAGGACATTCTAACAGCAATCACATCATTGGAGGTCTCTCTACAACACTGGACACCCGAGCAAGTTCTTCACAAAGCCTGGACATTGTCACCTCATCCTTAAAGAGCCAAGATCTGCTGTCAGCTCTTCAGAGTCACTTCAGCAACTCCAGTTGATTACTCACACATTTTGATTTGTTGCTAGAAGTACTGTCCTTGATAAATATTCCAATATTCTTAAATTACAAACAGCTTGGAGAAGACTGCAGTTAGGGAACTTGAAAAAAAACCATGCCAGGTATTTTCATATCCATGTGATTTATGAGCACAAATTAGTGACAATCAAAGAGAGTTTTACGGACTCATTTCTCTCATCTACAATATCATTGTGATATTAAAATCCTAACATTAAATCCCAAACTGTTTTAGTTCTGGACCTGAAGAATGAAATGTACTGAGAGACAAATGGGAATTAACTGGCCTGGGGAAGCTGAGAAGTCTCTGTCCTTGGAGGCTTCCAGGACTGAGCAAAAAGCCGAGCTCTGAACTAGTGCTGCTGATAACCCCACTTCAAACTGGAGCCTGGACCAGGTCTAGCCTAACAGAGATCCTCCAGAGAGCCCTCCCAGGCACCCCTCCTATCACTCTATGAATACCAACATGCATTAAGAGTTAAACCAGACCTAAGTTTATAAAGACTGCCATTAAATATTGTATTCGAAAAGCACTAACCCTCACAAAACCCTGCTGACTACAGCAGACTGAAACAGAAAGCTTAAAACACCCTCAACTCTTAAACAATCAGACCAAACTACGGGGAAAAAAAATCAAACATGCTCTTCAAATGAAGTCATGCAGCATCCCAACACTCACCAAAGGACAAGAAAAGTCAGTCACAATTAAATTGCTTTACTGGTATCAACTCATCTTTAATCAGTGCTTCAGTTTCATTTTAATTCCGGCAACGATTACACCAAAATTAAGACGTATTTTTAGCGCAGAAATGTTTAATTAAATGATCCTGGACACGATGCAGCCAACAGCTCTGGACAGAGAGCACTGAGAAGGCTGTCACACACATCAGCTTGTAGAAAAGACACCACCACAGCGCGTATCCCAGTCACTGGATCCCAACATTCCATCTCAAAAACAGCAAAGCAAGAAGTTGTTCATACAGGAGGAAATAAAAAACCACATATGCTAAGGAATTTCATAAACTAGCTTGTTAACCCAGAAATTAATGAATTGTAATTGTGTCTGAGAACCAGCAAGGTAGGGTTTAAATTAAAAATTAAGGAGAAAGTTCCTTTGACCAACTTTGGACCAAATTTCAGTTGGATTTGGCATCCAGCTCACCATCCTGGACATACCTATAGCTCAGGGTCCAACCCTCATCTGTTTCACACATTAATCTGTCAGAACATTCTGCTAATGAACGCACGGGCACTGCCGTAAGGATGGACCATCACAGAACTTGGAGACCATGACCATGGCCATGGTCAACTCTTCCAACAACTGGCCTGTAATACAAATCACTAGTTATGCCTCTGGTTCTTACAGAAACAGATCTACAGTTACTTCCTTTCTCCAAAGACACTGAGCATTTCATGTATTAACGGCCTGTGCCCTATTAATACAAGCACAGAGCATCTGAAGTAGTATCTGAAAGTTAAAGTAGGTTGTCTACAATGTCTACTTGAGATACAAGCTGGCCTGGCCAGACTCCTTCCCTGCTAAGGGAAAGTCTCAACAGAATTCTTCAACAGCAGCTGGAGGTCTGTGCAACAGAAATGCAGAGGGAGTGCACAGTTAGACCAAGATAAGGAATCTGTTTTTTCCAAAATCAGAAATTTGATATAGAAATTAATAAAATATAAATTCTGATTAGAATTCTACAGTTTACCATTTAGAGACTATTGCTGTTAAAAACAAGGGCTCTGAAATGATTTTGTGTGTTCTGACTTCCTGGGGAATACAGTTTGCCTGACTTTTTCAGAAGCTTACTGTAATACCTGTGCTTAGGAAAATGTTAACCAGTGAGCTGCTTCTTCACCCAGCCTGCCCATTGACTCAGCAACTTGTATCTGAACAAAAGATTAGTTCCTTCTCTATGTATTCACATGATCCTTTAACAAGCAAATAAAAAAACCCAAAACATTCCTAAGAGGTTTTCCACAGACCACCACCTAGATAAAATTTGCAATGTTAATGTCTCTGGGAAGCAAAATAACAAGGATTAAAGAGACCTTCATGGTACCACGCTTGCATCTTTGTGAAAAGGATTTCTACTGGTTTAGCTGAATTTATGCACACCCTTCACACCAGTTAAGCCAGAGCATCACCTTGTGTGGACACTCGCACTGCCTTTGAGCAGAACTTTAAAAAGGTGCACATGCATTTTCCTGCAGTAGTTTAAATGTGTTAAACAAATAAACATTTAGTTGCTTTCCAGTTTTTGGATCAACAACTTCTCCACAACCCCTCCTAAATTTATTAGGAGGAAGATCAACACATTTCAGGAAAACCAACCTTTACAGATCACGCTTCCATACAAACCGTTCTCTTCCATTGCTAGAAGTGACTGTTGTCAAAACCAAGCACCCTTCAAACACACACCCTTCTCTCCAGCAGAATCAGCTCAGGTTTTAAGCCTCTATCTTGTCCCAAGAACAAGTGACTGGCCAGAGACAAATATTTCACAGATCAGATTCGGCCTATGATCACCGAGTGAACAGTGCTAATTTTAGAACAAAATTTTCCATGCAAATACCATATTTCCCCTATATGGAAGATTACTTCAGCAACACAGAAAATCACTGACAAGGGATCTATCATTTATTCAACACCGCAACTTAAAGACAGCATATTTGAGATCTCTCTGAAATTCATCACCATATTGAATACAGCAAACATTACAGCTAGATGAAATTGCACATTTTTGGAAGCAATTATACTATTTGTTTCTCCTAAAGTCCAAAAAAAATCATCAACATTACTTCAGCTACATGTTTATCCAGCCCCTTTTGGGATTTAAATACAGCATCTCCATTAAGTCAATCCTACTGAGAGGGGTTTAGCCAAGTTTAGTGCGACGCGCACGCTCCTACGCCGATGCCAGATTCTTTGTTAGGTTCCACTGGATTTATTTGTCCCTCCTCTTTTAGCTTCACCTGCCTAAAGTCTTCCCTGACTTCTTCAAGCAGACTTGGCTTGAAAATGACATCCAGTGCTGTCATTGCCAAAGCTTTTGCTGTGCGCAGAGCATAGAACTGAGCACTCTGGGACCCTGCAGAGAAAAAAGACAAATTTCAGGTTACATTACTACTACTGGCTACGAACCACTAGCTCACCCCATAAGGCATTTCCTATAAAATAAAATCTTCAAGTTTCAATTGCAAGAACAGCTTCTTAAAAGATCGATTTGCACGAACACAGCATGTCTATTTTCTGATTCCTCTAAACAAATTTTCACATGAAAGTACTTAACTATCTGCAACTGGTATAAACGGGAAAAGGAGCATTCACATTTCTGTTATTAAAAAATGCAGTTTTATACTGTTATTTCTATTATACTTCCAGAGTATTGTGCTTTAGGAACAAATGTTACTTTTATCTTTTGGCTCATGTTTAGAAACTCTTCTGAATATGCTGCTAGGGATAACCCTTCTAATTTCTTCCATTTAGATGGTACACTAAGTCAGGCTTTTAGTACAAGGAGTGGTCATCCTTCCCATATACATTTAACTTCAATCACAAACCCAGAAATTCTACATTTTTCCAGCTTTTTTCTGCAACTCTACAATTAAATAAGTAAATTGTTTCAGGGTTCATATTCAGCTCACATCCCATCATGCCTGAAGACAGCGACTCCATTTCTATGCAGGTATTCACATGCAGCCACTTTCAGATCTAGTACTTACACTTTTGTACATCTACTACACAGAAACTTTGAGTACCACAGAAGCACGTGAAAGCTTAATCCTCTAATTTGAAATATTTATAATTTCTAGATTTGCTGTAGTGTAGGGCCAGGAACATGCATCATGGTTCCAAATATAAATCTCTAACTTTTCACTTCCACTCACCTGCAGCTTCTGTGTACTGCTCAGTATGATTCAGTGCATCAGAGCCGATATAAAAATAAGGATGAAGCCCAGGGACTACAAACGTAACATTTCCAAAGTCTGTGGAACCTAGAAGCAGCACAGAAGTTTTCTTAATGAATACATGTTGAAGAGTTTTGAATGCTGTAAGAAAATGTATGATAGGTATTCTCCAGCCCATATCCAAACCAGAATATCCTTTGCCCCAAATGCTAAATGCACTTCTAATGAGTCATTATCCATTCAAAAATCTTCCATCACCAAGATGTTTTCCCTAACTAGCCATCTTCAGATGCTGCTCTCTAGCACACTTAGAATCATAGAATCATCTAGGTTGGAAGGGACCTTTAAGATCATCCGGTCCAACCATCAACCTAACTCTGATAAAAACCATCACTAAACCATGTCACCAAGCACTGTGTCAACCTGTCTTTTACAAACCTCCAGGGATGGTGCCTCAACCACTTCCCTGGGCAGCCCATTCCAAGGCTTAATAACCCCTTCTGTGTAAAAATGTTTCCTAATATCCAATCTGAACCTCCCCTGGTGCAACTTGAGGCCATTTCCTCTTGTCCTGTCGCCTGTGACTTGGGAGAAGAGACCAACCCCCACCTCTCTACACCCTCCTTTCGGGGAGTTGTAGAGAGTGAGAAGGCCTCCCCTCAGCCTCCTCTTCTCCAGGCTGAACACCCCCAGCTCCCTCAGCCTCTCCTCATAAGACTTACAATCTGATCAATGCTTCTGATCAATAATCATCTCCTGGACTGCAAGGAAGATGTACCAGCATGTTCCTATTCCATTTACCATTTATTTTTTATCAAGCATCTCCTGACAGTAAACTGTCAATTCAGAAACAGTGAAAGCTGCAACCCTCAGAGTTTTGTGCAGTCCAGCTATTTTCCTGCAACAGCCCTTAGAACCAGGCTCAATAGTTACCACTTTCTACCAGCCTGCAAGTATTCAGCAGTAGGTAGGGGACTCTGAAACAGGAACAATCTATTTTTAAACAAAAACAGACTGAAGACAACTATTTTTTCCTTCTTTTTTTGATTATTCTCAGTTACAGAAACCTTAACAGTAAAAGCACCCTTGAAATAACAAGATCAGAACTAACCTTCAGACAAAGCACTAGTGCTCTGTAGACAAAAAAATCTTGACAGCAACAGCAGATCTTAATGATGATTTTTTCATGCTTGACTAGCACTTTCAGTATGTTAGCTAGTGATGGGACCCATCTCCAAGTACTGCCTTCTCTATTTAAGGATACCATCCAGAAGTAGTAGATCCTTCATAGTAAATCATCCAAGAGTCTGCAACTACATTGAGTGCCTTTCCTCCCCAGCCCCCAAAACAAGTAATAAACTCAGTATTTGTTAAAATGACATTTAGAAGCTGGAGAAACCAACACGCCAGTTATTGTGAAATTTGGATACCAGAGGAAACATTGTTCCATAGCGGGGAAAAATAGGGATGACCAACTAAGACCTCAATTAACTTTTTTCAGCCCAATCAGAGCTGTAAGATTTTTTTTCTTTAACAATGGTATATAAAATGACTGTTCTAAAGATTGAGCATTATTTGTAACATCACGTAGCCTCCATACCATGACACTTTATGGAAAACAAGACATTGCTAATGCCTTAAGACTTAGTAATGAAGTGATTGAAGAATATAGATTATAGTTATTAAAAGGGAGCCCACAGAGCCTACATTATGTGATCAAAGAGGACAAGACCAGCTTGCTATTTGCTCTGCCTACAGACAAATGGAAGCTGCAAGGCTTGTCCCCCCAAAAAACCCTTTTCCTATAAATTCAGTATGCATTTGAAAAACTCCAACTCCCAGCAGAGCAATAAGTTATTTTTATGTTCAGTAGTCTACATTATTGATCTATTCTTTGGTCGGTCTGGAAAGACAACCCAGATGTCTGCAAGTTCTGCCAGCTCCAGACTGAAAGCCAGAATTCTAGACTTGCTTTATTAAGTCCTAATACCCGAGCTCCTGGAAAGACTGTGTTGGCCTTATCCCCTCCTCTCACCCAGCAAATGCAGCATTAGCAATTTCCGTGCATCCCAGCTCTCAAGCATGGAATTCCACTTAAAATGACATACATATCCAATCTGCTACCCGTTTACAAGTTATTTTTGCAGAATGTAATGGATTTCAACCTGGCATTTTCTACTAAGGTGGAGAGCTTACCAATCCCAAATCCAGGCAGCTTTTAATAAAAATGTGACAGTCAAATCTTCCCCTAGTGGCACATTTAAATATCAGGCATTCCAATAGTTCCCTTACAAACATCTGGAACTATATGCTTGCTAGAAACATAGAGATCGAGTTTCCTTCTAGAAGCATAAAAAACTCCTCTCCTCTTATCATACCTAGCAGAATGTTTAAAAGGCATGTTTAAAACATCAAGTGTTCTGATAGTTTCCATACAATGCTTCAGATGTATGGATCAGGTTTCCTTCCAGAACCAGGAAGCAGAGTTATCAAAGCAATATACAGACTTGTGTGCTGTCTTCAACAGAAGGGTAGCGGGAGCTCCAGCCTCTCAAAAAACTATCCTGAAGTTAATTCTGAAGCCTCTTCAAGTCACTTCAAGCACTGAGCACATAATGGAAGCCAGTATTACCACAAACATGGAGGGGAAAACGCAAAAGATTCCAGGAAGCATTTATAGACAGCCCCAAGCTTCGAAAGTGCTATTTTCAAAGCATACTGGCTCCTTCTTATGATTATTCTCGTGTGCAGGAAACCAATAAACCCCATGAATGCTAAAAATACCAGAGTAAGTTACCACAAGCGTGGGTGCCTCAACTAAGGCACACTAAACTAAGCCATCTGCTGTGGGAGGTGATCGACACCCCACCAGCAGAAGGAGAAACAGGTTGTGGTACCATGGTACCTGGTGAAAGCTAACTGGGATTCAGGTTATTTTACACCATTCTAGCTGTGTGCCAAAGGAGTGGAGTGTGCACAAGGCACACATAAAATAGTGTGACTCAATGGACTAGAGGAATTCTTCATAATGCTTAGCTGCCTAGAATAATACCTGTAAGCAGACCGATACTAATACCCATGTAGAGGTGGCAGCGAGTACGCTCATCTGTTAACGACTTTTCTGCTGCACAGACATGGAGAAGCAACTGAGCTATCTTCCTTCCCTTTCAACAGAAGAAACTGACATCCTAAAAGAAAACATTGAAAACCGTATGAAAACTAAACAGAAATAGAGGTCTTGAAAAAGATGAGACAAAACACTCCACCCCTCCCCGAAAAGGGCAGCATACAAAATTCCACTATGTCTCTGGAGACTGTGTTTTGTCATCATTCCTGAATCCCCACTGCAAAAAAAAAATATTCAGAGAAGCAGCTGTGGAAAGAAAATTCAGTAAGGCCTACTGCAGTGTGCAATGAAAACATAACTGCTCAAGCACATTTTGACATTTGACAGGCAATTTCGACAAGAGAGGAATATGGAGAGTTTCAGTTTAAGCAAGAGTTAATTTTTAACATTTAGCATATAATGTAATTTACATAAAAAGCGCTATTAGAATTAGGTGTTTTTACTAAGTTCATTCAAAGTCCTCTGAGCCAGCATGATGACCAGTATTCATGATCTTCACCCTTAATACAATGGTTTGAGGGAAGTAGCACAAAGCTCCAGAAAGTTTCACTGCAGTAAACATTCTAAAACGAGGTTCCTCAGCACCCTTCTTAGGCTAAACGAGCACTGTAGTAAGTCTTACTTGCACCACACTGAATAAAGAGAAAAGAAATCTGCCTTTAGCTATAATTTGTTTATAAACCCAAAACAATGAATCAATTAGAGAAAAATGTGCTACTGCTGCCTTTACTTGGAAGGGAAGTAAGAAATAAGAAAAAATCCAACCAGAATACCATTAGATATGCCGTCTCCCCCACACAAATGAAATTTTGGAGAAATCTATTGCCAAATAGTAAGATCTCAACTATTCAAAGATAATCTGCATTTAATATAGAGAAGATTAGTACTACAATCAAACTAATTGGAAAAACATTTTTTTACTGAAAACGTCTTTTTACTTCTAAATAAAGGGAAAAACCTTTCAAAAGTGGAGTAAAAATATTTATACATGCAGTTATGATCAGGAGTGAAGGCTATGAAGTATCAGCAGCAATTATAAGACTTGAACAGAGCTCCTGTAGAAAGATTCGGGTGAAAAAAACCCCACCTGTTAAGGGTAATGAGAAACCCACCTGAGCATTCAAGAATTCACATTCCTATAACTCTGAGAGACAAGAAAGTGAAATAATTTGAGACACAGTCAAGACCCAGAAGTGAACACCTACTGGAACAGCACCCTTTGGAAAACTAAGCTGTTGAACTCATGAACTAAAATTAGAGGCACTGTATTACCTGTTAATGGAAAGAGGTTTAAATTAAGGTTATGAGATGCTTAAACTTCCACTTAAAAATCTCTTCAAAAAGCTCCCTCTATAATATTAGTTAGATGCTTGTTGACATGCAAACTTGGAAACAAATGTTAAGCAAGGTTCCTAAAAACTTAATCTCATCTTCATTCATAGCATAAACCAGGATTCTGTAATTCAAAACAACAGAATGAGCCTCAATTCATTCCATGTCTTCATGGTCTCAGACAATCCTTATCTTTCCATCCTTCCATCATCCCCTCCAACCAAACTGTTTCTTACTTGAAATATTTTCAGAAATATTATCAGAAAACCACCAGTGCTTTTCATACCGGTTGGGAAAATTTCTCAGCTTCTACACCAAACACAGAAACACAGGCCAGAAGTATGATCCTTTTACAAAGCTTCAATTTTTCTAATTTGGCTTTTTTCCTTCTGACCAAACTATGTTTAACCTACCTCTATCCCAGTATCTTACACACTTGATCAATCTAAGCTTAAGTTGTAACGAAAAAACCCCACTGATCGAGTTACCTGACAAACCATTCAAGACAGCATCTTCTGATATAAACTCTATTCCAAGCTTCTTCCCATTCTCCTGGTAAGCTTTCTGCAGGCTCTTATTTGGAAGCACATTGTAGTAATCATTTTCACCACCTTTTATTTCCACCTAGACAAAAACACCCGAATGATTAGAAATTTTTCACCAACCTACGCCAGTTTACCGTGAACAATTTAAAGCCCAGAAAAGTTAAATACATGTCCATACATCAACCCCGTGTCAAACCAGACATAATTGCTAAGCCTCCTTCAAAAACACAACATTCTGCCAAATATTAGCCTTGATCAAAACACAGCTGGTGTTCTGTCAAGCTTGCACTAGATGGGCAAATTCCAGACACGTGGATTTCACAGAGCACATCTCCAAAATAGTAAGCAAGCATTTCCAGTAACAGCTTATCATGATTTCCACTGCTGGTACTATTAAACTACGTAGAAATCAATTAAGTCTTTCACCAAATTCTGTTTTACTGTTTTTGTTCAGAACACTTCCAATAACAACAGCCCCATTCATGAAATGGCTTCACATAGGCAATAAATTTGAAAACAAATGTAAAAAACATACCAAAGTCAAGTTTCAGAAGAGATCTTAACTTTCATTCTGCATAAAACACGCTTTATGAAATCCTTTTCTAATTAGAGTGGAGGGGCCATACCAGGAAAACGGCACCTAATGCCTCAAATAGACCTTAAAACTCACTAGCTCCCATTGATACACACTATACCTAAAGGTCCCATCCATCTTGAAGGACCAGGAGGAGGATCTTAGAAATTACAGACTGGTCAGACTATCCTACCCTCAAGCTCCTGAGGAGATTAAAGAGCAAATAAATCCTCCTAAGACCCATCTCCAGGCACACAAATCACAAGGCAACTGTGACTATCCAGCATAGATTCATGGAAGAGCAGATGGTGCACAACCAAGCTTAGCTTTTCATGATGACAGGTCTGGCTCAGTGGACACAGAAGACATTCAGGCTCAAAGCGTTATGATCAGTGGTGCAAAAATCCAAATTGCTGCCTGTTACTTGTAGCATCCATCTGCAATCAATACCAGTGCCAATTACTGGTGTAATATCTCTATTATTGATGCAGACAACTGCTGTGAGACCACAGCTGGTGTACTGCATGCTGAACTCAAGACTAGAGCAAGTCCAGGGGAAGGTCATCAAGATGATCAGGGTGCTGAAGAACATGAGATACAAGGGAAGGTTGAAAAAACTTGGTTTGTTGAGCCTTTAGAGAAGAAGGGTAAGCTGTCTACAGCTGCCAGATGGAGAGGGTAGAGAGAAGACAGAACCAGACTTCTCAGAGATGCCCAGTGCTATGAGAGGCAACAAAGGAAATTCTTATTGGAAATAACAGAATCACAGAAGTTGAAGTTGGAAAGCATCTCTGGAGGTCATCTTCTCCAACTCCCCTGCTCAAGCAGGATCACCTAGACCTGGTTGCCCAGAACCACATCAAGGCAGCTTTTGAGTATCTCCAAGGATGGAAAACACTATCTCTCCAGGCAATCTGTTCCAATAGTCATCACAGTATAAGTATCAGGAAAACCCTTGTTCAACCGGAGGTGGGTAGAGCACTGCTGAGACAGGTGGTAGAATTTCATCCTTGGAGATACTCAGAAGTCCACATGGCACTGGGCAATCCACTCTCACTGGTCCTGCCCTGAACAGAGGGTCAGAGTAGATGACCTTTGGAGGTCTCTCCCAGTCTGGGTTATTCTATGATTCTGTGGCATTCTATTTATAAAATAAAACTTTCTTTCAGGACACAAAGCAATAGAATAGCAAACAGAATCACTGACATTTTGATTTCTTTCAGGTAAACACCACGCAGACAAATGCTGTAAGCCTGGATTTCCTATTCTGCCCTACTTTATCTCCAGTGTAATAGAAACACGTGACCATGAACAGATTCTTACTTTGCATCCTGTGGCCAGCGCTGCAGATTTGAAGCAGTTCTCCACCTTCTCTGTCAGAACAGAAAGATCTCTCATTGAAGGGGCGCGCAAGTAAAACTCTAGTTCAGTGTAAGAAGGAATGATGTTAGGTTTCACACCACCATTTTTTATTACACCTGCAGAAAGGGAAAATCTTGTTACCAATCTTAAATATAAATACTTGGTAGCTTCAGACCTGTCACGAAACTCCTTGTGCAAGAACCAAATATATAAACAAACCCCATCAAAACATCAGCTGAACATGAAACATATAAAGAATGTCAAAAATACAGTACATGGACAAGGTTTCTTCATCACTTAGATTAAGTGGAACGTGCACATGTTTTTTTTAGCACAATTTCATTGCATTCTTTGGCTACCTGTTATAAACCTAAAGACAACATTTGGAACTAATCCTGTGAAATTCAATGCATCAGAATTTTCATAGAGCAATTTGGCTGCCGTTGAAAAAGAAAAAAAAATTGTTATAAAGGCTACCTTCTAGTTCAACTTTTAAAGGTTTCCTCAACTAGAATGTTTCCCACTTGCTTTACCAGCTTGGAGAGAAATTGATTAAATTGCATTTCTTAGCAATACTGTAATAATGAGTTACAGTGCATGGAGAGTTCATTAGATTCATCATGGTAATTCTTCAGAAATATTGGGATGTATAACAAATGTACAGTTTTATTCAAGAGTGAAGTTTGAGTTGAAAGTGCTCCCTCAAGGAAAATTGTGACAAATAGATAGCTTTCAATTCTGGCATCAGCGGCATTACCATAAAAACCATAACATATGCATATTTCAAGAAAAAAACCACATTGTATACCTTAATTCTACATTAGATTTCAATGCATTAACAGCTCATTACTTTCAACAGGCTGCTTGTTTCCCTGGCTTCCTATCCTCAATTTATGTACGTGGAACAAGATTTGTTTCCTGTAGAACCTGAGGAATTATCTACCTTGAGTGCAAATACTGCACAAAGTTACTGACTGAAGCCCGAAAAGACAGTACTGTCAGGTCAATAAATCTTTACTTTTTGGTGCATATTAAGACTAAGAACTCCCCTCTCACATAAAACCTTTCCAGTCTGGAATACAGTCAAAGTAAACAGAACACTGAATTAAGCCACTACCAGTCCTAGTCCATAACAAAAGGAACAGCTCAGATGGAGGGGCAGACATCACAGAAAAGGAATCAGCAAGTAAGTAATCATGCAAATTTGCATGACACATCCTAACACCTTTGCTCAACACAAGCAGCTTAATGAGCTTTCATTTGTCTTCCAACACATTTGTAAATGGGACTGGATAGAGACTAAGAGTATGTCTACACTTAAACTTCAAAGCAACTGTATTAATGGCCTGGACAGCAGATCTAGCTTAAAAGTAAGGCTGTGTGCACACTACCAACAGCACCCAGTTTGTCCTGCTTCTAGATGGAAATTTTTTTCACAGCCTGTTTAATACAATTTCTTCAACAGAAAAAAATCAAATCTACATTCCTATTTTTTAAGCAGGCAACATTTACTCCACTCATAAGGAGGGAAGAAACAAACTTATCAAATATTAGACAAACTCAAACCAACATTGTTCAAATACAAAAAAACACTGCTTAGAAATTCTAGACTTCAGGTAATGGAAACCATTTTGGCTCTTGCTAGTGGGTAACATTAAGATTTTTAGGAATTGTTAAGTCAGCCATAGCTGTTACCCCAAGCCTGTGACACAAGACCTCCAACACCTGTTGTAAAGAAAGCATTCCTAAAAGTGAATCTCATTCTAGCTGCTTATACTTTCCCAAAGGTATTTTAAATATTTCCAGTTTGAAAACCAGGTTTATGACAGCAGTTGTATCAACACAGTAATTTAAGTTTTGCTGTGGTTCAGGAAACGTTACCTCCAGGAGGCCTGTTTAGATACTTAGGGGATTTTTCTTAAATTATCCATGTATCCTTTAGAAACTATCAAAAAAATAGTATTTAAGGGTTTAGGTTTAGATCCAATCGGCAGCTTAGACACCTCCAATCTTAAACTTGCAACATGTGAGTTTTGGACACCAAAACTCATCATTAAGTGCCTTGTTTCCTACAGAGCAATAGGACAGAGAGCTAAGGGTATGCCTGCTGCCTGAAATTTGTTTGGGTATGCTGCATAGCAGAACTGCAGACATCTTCATCTACAGGCAAAAGGGTTAGGGGTTCCAGACTCCATCCAGATATCCTGGAGAGAAATACACACAGGTATTATACAGCACAAGCAGCCACAACATACAATAACCATTAGCTCAAAGCTTCTGGAAGCATTTTAAGTTCTTAACAAGTTTTCCAAGTAAACAGTTCTATGTTCCTAAGTTCTGTAGAAATGGCAAAGTTTCTTAATTTCATCTTGGAAAAAGTTGTGTTGAGTGTAATACGGAAAACCTGGGTTTATAGTTAAAGGGCAACTTCCATCTCAACTTCTGAAACTTTCTCACTGTACAAAAAAAGAAATACATGATGTTGAAGGAGTACAAGTCAAGCTTAATGGTCAACACATCTTATTGCAAATTGATCTTTCTACTTCAAGGTCTACCAGATATTAAATATTAGGATCCAATACACATCTAGCTGATTGGGCTACTAACCAGAACTACAGGCTTCTGCCATCACTTTCTTTTTTGAAGTTCAGTCAATAAACTCCAGTCACTCTAAACCACTACACCTTTCCTCAAATGTCAATTTAAATGCCATCTAATTAATGGAATGTCTACTTAAAAAGGATGCAGTAAGAATACTTCAATTTCCAGAAGCATTTAATCTTACATCTTTGCAAAAACAGACACATTAACTTTAAAGGAATTCAAGGCCATGTACCAAAATAAACTTTTTTTCTTCCCCTTTCTGAACTGTAACTTCAAGTGCAATGACTTAAAATTGCCCAGCCTCTAGCAAGGTACTGGTGTCCTCTCTTGAATCTGACCCATAAGCCTGAAGTTAGTTCTGGATGCTGACATGTTTTTAAAGATTATACACAAACTATTTAAATGAAATGGTGCTATTTCATAATATTTGAAGTGGCTATACTAATTTAGTGCAATAATGCAGTATTTTAAATTGTGGGATTTTGTAAGTTAGTATTTCAACAGCCTAAACTCTTACTCGCTGTACATTAGATTTAATGAAGATCTCACCATGAACTCTCCAGGTCGGTTTCATTTGCTGTCTTAAAACAGACAGATTGTTGTATGCAAGAACAGCAGCATCTAATGCATTAACTCCTTCCCAAGGATAAGCAGCAGCATGAGAAGCTTTTCCATAGTATTTCACAGTCACACTAGGAAATAAAAGGCATTGCTTATTGGTTTTTCATTCGCTGAAAAAACCTCTAAAATACAAACTTCCTTTTGTTCACACAAATGTTTGTTATTTTTGTGCAGAACACTAAACAATTTACCTGGCACTACACTGTTGCAAAGTTGAACTATCTCTGTGTGCAGGAAGGTGCTGAAAGATTTCTAGAAAACCAATGAAACGAAACAATATCAAGACCATCAGACAAAAGAACTACCAGTAACATATCACTATACAGCCTTTTCCTGAGGACAGGCTTCACATACTAATTAAATGTCTCCAGCACTTTTTTTTATACCTCCTGACTGTTCTGAGACTTAAAGTTACTAACATTCTTCTCAAATCAGGATAACAAACCCTTTTTTCTGATTCAAAATTAGAGGTTGATTGTCCTAATTCTTGTCAAACTTCAATAAAATGCATACAGTACGTAAGTCAGCAAAAGCACATTGCTAAGATCACATACAAGCCATGTCTAAATAACAAAAGTCGAGTTTTAAAAGCACAGTAAAGGGATAGTCTAGTATAAAATATACGTTACCACGCTACAGCAAGGATGTTCTTTCCCTGCACACCTCAAAGATGCTGGTAGAAAGGCTTGCCACAAGGAAGAAGGATAGCCTCCAACACATCCAGTAAGAATTCATGCTTGGCTTCATCTTATGAAGGCCTTTTACATTAGCCTTACAAAATAATCTAGCATTTCAAATGATATGAAAACTCTTCACATGAGAAGTAAATATGAAATACTGATAACTACACAAGGTATGACTACTAATCAAATACACATATATTGGGTTTTTTTACCAATACTAGAGATTTTAACTAGATCTGTTTGTACTCAATACCTTTACATTAAAAATCTCCATCCTTGAAGCTCAAAGAGCTCCCGAGACACACAAGCTGTCTCTTACCCAGCTAGGACAAGCCTCACTTGCTTGTCCCTCTGTCTTGCACAGATGCCAACTTCGCCACTTGTCCTGAACTGACCCCTCCTGCTCTGAACCACGCCAGGGCTGTAAGTTAATACCAGAACTTCAATACTGGACAGCAAAGCAGGACACAATGGAGTGTACTGTTGCAGCAGAAAACGCCTGCTGCTACTGCCTGCAATCCAAATTAATTATGCCCTTTTCCATCCTCTAAGACAACCACACATCCCATTCTGTAAAGTAGGAGTTTTATTTAAAATTTATTATCATTATGAAATCAAGACAAAAAAACCCCTTATCCATTCACATCCCAAGAATTAGATTAAAACCCCTCAAATCAACTCACAAAGAAGGCAGGACAGATCCCTGGATATTCTCAAAAAAATGGAGAGAAGGCAGTGTAAAGCAGAAAGTCATGTTGCAATCTTCTTTCTTTTCCCCCCACAAGAAACACGTGCTTCTTGTTAAAAAAATGTTCCTTGTTGTACTGCTATTACTACATAAATGTCACATACTCTCAGAAAAAACTCAACAGACTTTGTTGAATAATGAAACCCTAAGCCAGTTTAAGAATATTAGCAGAAGAATGTGGATCCTGTTTGACCAACAATAAAAAGGCTGATTAGATGAAGGATAAGTGAGTAGGAATCAGCAAATTCTGGCATGTATTCACCAGTTTTCCTGGTATGTTAATTTTCCTTCAAGCACAAGACAGCTCCAAAGTTCACAGCTACAGTAATACTAGCAATTTTATGATGGCCAGTCCTTCAATTCCTTGCAAACAACCAAAAGATCAATTACAAATCATCAAGACAGTCTGCACCTTTAGAATCTCATCATTACATCAATCATGAGATAAACTGAATATCTGAAGCTTCTGGAAGTAGTAAACTGCTTTGGCTTAGTATTTCAGTTCCATGCCTCCTCCACACTCAAGGTTTAAAGGCTACCGAGGACTTTATCCTACAGCAGACCATCATCTCTGAATTCCAGATCTTACTGTATGCAACTCAAAAGGCTACTGCAAAAGTTAAAACGTACGGAAAGACAAAACTATTAATGAAAACTGCACCTTGAAGATTATGAATATAATCGTAAGGTACAGCATCCAAAAGCCAAGCTGAGAAAAGTCTTGAAGGATAACACTAACCAGTTGAGACTCTTTAGAAACACACTGACAAAATAAAACAGAGTGCTAGCCAGGCAAGGAAATTCCACCTCATGTACCGTGTACAATTCTCGTTATGCACATCCAGGAAGGAGTACTTCAAGACAAGTTAAGTCACTCCAAGTACAAATGAACAAGTGTTGACACTGAACAGCTGGGCTAATCAAAAGAAAAGACATAATTTATGAAGAGTTATATGGCTAGCTGGCAAAAAAAAAAAAAAGCCAAGTGAGGGTATGACTGCTGTCTATACTTATATATAGTAAGTAAACATAAAGGAGAGCCAAGAACTACTCCAAATCAAACAAAAAGTTGATGCGAAAGTTAACAGATATAAAATGGCCACAGTTAAATTTAGGCTGGAAGTTAATGGGGATCCAAATAGTGCTTTGGCTCAGCTGGCTGTCTCTTTCAAAAGTGGGACAGAAAAGCTGAAACACTTCCAAAACTGATTAAAATGCATACAGAGGACTACACGATCTAGAGCCCAGGAAGGCAAGGAACTATGCCCTCCAGGCACACATCCTGAAAGTTAAAGAACAGGTGGTTTTTAAACAAATTTTTTTTTTTTTTTTTACTCCTCTATGAGATAATCACAAGAAAAAGAAACACGTAGAAACATCAGAAGAAAGAATGGATTTGGGAGACACATGCGAGGTTATCTCAGGGTAGTCAGGAACCCTGAACGCTGAACTTTGGAAGAATGGCTTAGAGTATCCAGAACAGTGATCTGGCTCCTTAGCTGCCTGCATATACTCGGTCTGAAGGGCACCTGAAAGGTCCTAAGTTCAGCCCCTTCCCAAGCAGCTCAACTCAGGGAGGGGGGGAAAGGAGAATAACAACAAGGCCGACCCTTTCCACTGCTCACTCACTCGTGCTCAGCCACGTCGGGCAGGTAAGCCGCGTTTTCTTGCGAGGGGTGTGCCATAAAAACCACATCCAGGCCGTCAAACGCTCCAGCCTTGATCAGGTCTATCTTGCCCCCTCCTTGCTCCTCCGCCGGCGTCCCCAGCACCGTGATCTGCACCGCAAACACCGAGAAGTCAGGGGGCTGACCGGGGGACCAACACGGGGGGGCCGGGGGCTACAGCCTCCGCCGTGGGAGGGCTCTCTCTCACCTGGACGGCGAGGGGGGCGGGCTGCGGCAGGCTCTCCAGGGCGGCCTTCAGCCCCAGCGCGGCGGCGGCTCCCACCTCGGCGATGAGGTTGTGCCCGCAAGCGTGGCCGATGCCGGGCAAAGCGTCGTACTCGCAGAGGAAGGCGATACGGAGCGGGCCAGGACCCGGACCCGGGCCCTGAGGGGCGGCCGTGCCCCACTCGGCGCGGAAAGCCGTGCCCAGCTTGTAGCGCGGCTGCACGGCCCAGGCGGCGCCCGGCAGGTCCCCGCTGGAGAAGAAGCGGGTCATGGCGTCGTGCGCCTGGTGCTCCTCGTAGGCTAACTCGGGCCGGCTCCAGATGTGGTGGCTCAGCGCGCCCAGCCGCTCCGCGTTCAGCTCCACGCTCTCGCAAGCCCGCTGCTTCAGCGTCTCCAGCGCCGGCAGCGCGGCGGCGGCGGCCGGGCCACCTTCAGGCGGGTCCTGCGGCCTCATGAGGGAGCGGTGCGGCGGGCCCAAAAAGCAACCGACCACCTGCACCTGCCCACGGGCGTGTGAGCCAGTCGCGGCTGCTGCCCCTTTTATAACCTCCTTTAGGCCGCCGCGCACGCTGGGAAATGTAGTTCGTCCCCCAATGCGCTGTCTGCTGGCGGCGCCCGGGCGGAACTACCCGCCCCAGCGCGCCCCGCGGGGCGGCCCTCGCCCTGCCGGCGTTCCCGCCTCTGCCCTGTGGTGAGCGCGCGGGCGGCCTTCCCGCCCGTGCCCTGTGGTGAGCGCGTGGGCGGCCTTCCCTCTGGCACTTCACGCTTTTAGCCGCTGCGTTTTGCCTCAGCCTTCAAACACGCCTTGCTCTACCGTAAGTTAGATCTTCAGCTGCTCTATTTTTGCCACTTCGGGTTCAAGTGCAAGATCCCAGAGTCATAGAATGGTTGGAGTTGGAAGGGACCTTAAAGATCATGGAGTTCCAATCCCCTGCCCTGGGCAGGGACACCTCCCACCAGAGCAGGTTGCTCAAAGCAATAAACCATAAACACATACGGAGGATGAGAGAGAATTGGAACAAGACTAGGAAAGCTCAAAGTCCCGTCAAACCTGACCTTGCACACCTCCAGGGATGGGGCATCCACAGCTTCCCTGGGCAACCTGTTCCAGGGTCTCACCACCCTCACAGGAAAGAATTTCTTCCAGATATATAGATATCAGGCCTTATAGTGGCCCTCAGATACTGAAAGGGGCTATAAGGTCTCACTTGGACCCTTCTCTTCAGGCTGAACAACCCTCTCTCAGTCTGTCCTCAGCACAGGAAGGACATGGACCTCTTGGAGCAGGTTCAGAGGAGGCCACGAAGATGCGCAGAGGGCTGGAGCCCCTCTGCTGTGAGGACAGGCTGAGAGAGTTGGGGTTGTTCAGCCTGGAGAAGAGAAGGCTCCAGGGAGACTTTAGAGCCCCTTCCAGTACCTGAAGGGGGCCTAGAGGAAAGCTGGAGAGGGATTTTTTACAAGGGCATATAATGATAGGACAAGGGGTAATGGTTTCAAAGTGGAAGAGGGTAGATTCAGATTAGATATTAAGAAGAAATTTTCACTATGAGGGTGGTGAGACCCTGGAACAGGTTGCACAGGGAAGTTGTGGATGCCCCATCCCTGGAGGTGTTCAAGGTCAGGTTTGATGGGACTTTGAGCCTTCCTAGTCTTGTTCCAATTCTCTCTCATCCTCCATATGTGTTTATTGTTTGAGTGGAAGAACTATTGGATATTTACCTCAGAGATGGGATGGTACCTCTCAAATCAAGCAACAATTTTCTTGCTCCTTGTTTTAGAAAGTGTCAGTTCACAGTTACTACACTGTCGTGTTTTTTTTCTCCTACTTTAGGGGAAGACACCAGTCTTTCAAATTTTATGCCTGTTTGAAAATTCACTGGATGAAAGCATTTATATTCAGTATTTTCATTTTCTATAGGTTGTGCATTGGGTTATGATTATGAGAATGTTGTATTATAGTCAGTGTAAATTAGAAGTCTACAAAATGCAAAACATATACCCAAAACTTGTTTTTCTGGTCTACTAGACATAAGAAAGAAAAACACAAATTAATGCATTTTTTAAAAACAAGGTCAAAAATATTATGCTGATATTTTGTTTGTGCTAAACAAATTATAATGCAGTATTAGACTGTTAAAAATATTGTTACTACGTAGAGGAAATACAATCCAGACAACATCATAGTTTTTTTGAGAAAAGCAAGAATTGTTCATATATTTATTTGTAAGTAAACAAAACCAAACTTTGCAGCTGCTAATTCAATTCATATTCCTGGAATCAAGTTGTAAACAAATGCTTGTATTTTTGTTTTAGAGGGTGGATGAGGTTCGGTAGCTTTCCATTGGTCTAAAAGCAGGAACATGTGTTGTGGCCATAAAAAACTTGATGATCAAGTTTGCCACATCCCACATGAGCAACGTTAGGCATTTAGGTTGAAACCCAGATCAGACTGAACTCGGTGAAAGTTTCACTGTTAAATTCAGGGTGGCCTGGATTTCAAGCCAAAATCCAAAGCTTTTAAAACAATAGCACAAGTGAGTATTAAAAACAAAAGCGGGCTGTTGCTGTGTGTAGGAGCTATACTTGCCTAAAATAACATTCCAGTCTGGTTTACAAACAGCTTTTATATTAGGAAGTATGTATCAAGACATACAATGCTATGAAAGTGGATTTTATGTTTAAAAAGAAAGCATGATAAGGGCTCCTTTGCTCAGATCACAGTATCAATATCACCATAGAGCAGAAGAATTTTGAAGACCTCAGAAAAAGAAATGGCTTAAGTCACTGAAGCATGTTGTCTTATTTCACTATTAATAGATCAAGGATGCCATTCAGAAAAGTAATGCCATTCCCACCACTTAAGAGTTAATCCCAGTCTGGTCAAAATTTCGTTGTCCAGAGCAGATTGAGTCAGAAAATACAAGCTTAATGTTCCCCTCAGATTTGGTTACATGGTGTACAAAACTTGGGATTAAATCTGAAATTCCTGATGCAGCGTGTTTATGCCTCACAACCATTTTCATCTCCCTTTCCCAGGCCCCTGTGCTATTTGACTTAGTGGTCGAGACCTCACCATTTGTCCAAATGCTGTGAACCTGTACCCAAAAAGGCAAGGTAGAAGCTGTTCCTAGAGCCCAGATACACGCACTGAGAAGGTGGCTGTGGCTATTTGAGACGCCTCTGCCCCTGTCCCCTTGTACCTGCCAAAGATGCCCACCCCAGCTCTGGTGGCAGAATGAGACCCAAGTGTCTCTGAGCTGTTTCAGCTCAAAGTGCAAGGGCTTAACTCAAGCTGCCCCCACCCTCCCTTGGCATTTTATGCTTTAAACACTGGACTTTATCCTGAAGCAGCTTAGAATTATCTGTGTTTTCAGTCTGCTGACTCTGTTGTGTGGGTGGTATCCTCTGGGAGAGAGGCAGTAATGTTTTAAACCAACAGAGTTATTTTCCAAACAATGGCTTCCGTGCCCCATTAGCCACAGAGACTGATATAAGATTTGCTGGTTTAACAAAACATTGCCCTTGTATCTGCTGCAGATTTTCATTTGCACTCTGAAAGCTGCAAGAATGCAGCCAGGGCTTTGTTGTATTCTGTATTTTTGCTGATCTGGGGTGTGATTTTTTTAACAAGAAACATTTGTTAACTTTAAGAAGAGTTCAGAGATTGCCCGAGTTAAGCATTGCCAATTAGGGCAGGGAGCTGTTTAAAAGACAGGGTAGATAAACTCGCATTTCTTTCTTTGGTTTGGCTCTCTGAAGAGTTACGTAAAACTTACCAGCTGTTATGGGGCTCCTTGAAGTTTGAACAGCAGAACGTAAACAGAGAATTAAATGTCTGGTGTTACTGATATCCAATACTCTTAACGCACAGCGCTTACTCACTGCTTGCTCTCTCTTCTATATTCAAACTTCTTCGTCTTTTTAACAGCAAGGAAAGTGTCAAATATGAGAGATCTTACCTTGGAGAAAAATGCCTTGAATTCCCCCCGCTCCTCCGATAAAAAAAATCTTGTCTCAACTATGCCCGTTTATTTCTTACAGTTAAATTCACACATCTATTTTATCCATTTAACTATTTAATAATTTTTAATAGGGTGAGGTATTTAACATGACACTATAGGTTGAATGTTACATTTGTATGATTTCTGTAGTAGCAGCCTTATAATGCTCTCCCAGCTTCAAAAGATTTGTGATGAAAATGGTCTGATCCCATAGATGTCCCGTCGAGACACTTGATGCTAGTCCAGCTCCATTACTACAAGCCTTTATTTGTTATATTAGCAGATTTGTTATATTAGCAGATTTGTTATTTGATTGTGTCTTACATGTCTAGTTCCTTTCTCCCTCTAAAAGTCAGATTTTGCCTATTCAGGTAAATTCTGCTATTTGTTTCGTAGCATGACTTACTGAGTGGGCAGAGGGGAAGGAAAAAACGTGAGCAAAGCATGTAAACCTTAAGTCTTGTTGCCAAATCCTATGGGAATGAGCTACCTCACCCCCAGGAAGGACAGGAGCCGGCACATCAGCAGTCACTGCTGGCTCTCCTGCTGTACGTTTACTGGGTGACTCACACACCACTTGTGTTGTGGGCAGCACAGAAAAGAACCTCACAGAAAACAGGCAGGGGTATAAAGGTCAGAAACTGCAGGCCCTTTGCTCATCAGCATCAACTCCCCCCCTAATGTCTGCAAAAGAGACAATTAATTCATCTCTGTATTCATGAGACCAGGTGTTTTCCCTGTTAAATCTCTGTGCAGCTAAAGAGAAAGTAAATCGCTGTTACACAAACTTCCACGCATTTAATTGCTGCTTTCCTCTCTCAATTTTAAAAATGGCTGGTAATACTTTTAATATTTATGGCAGTGCAAATGTATGTAAAAAATGAAATCTAGCCTGTGCTAAGCTCTTCAAAGTAATGAAAAAAAGTCTGATATTTCCTCATGTTAAAATGCCCCTTTATATATGCCACCAGTTATTTACAGTGACATGCTATGTTGTTAGAAATATAGTTTAATTCTGCTATTGATTCAACCAGAACCACAGTCAGGCCCCATCTCTGTTAGTCCCTTGGAAGAAAAATGTATTTTGCAGCTCTTACAGATTATTTTTAATCCATTGACTCTTTAAAGCCTCACAACTGTTTGCTCATAGATAGTATCTTTTTGTGGCTTAAACAGACAGAAGATGACCACTCAAAAAATTCAATATTCAATTTTCTATTTTATTTAATTCCAATTTACATACAGATGGAGACTTTTGTCTCATAAAAATATGTGAAAGCCTCTCGCTTGTTTCATACGAGTACACTACTTTACAGATAGGAAGAAAAATTGTGATATATTTACATTCCACAGAAATCTTAAATGGATTACTTCTTTAAAGCATCACAAATTACTATTAAGTATGTCGTTGTGGATTTAGTGGCACTGAGGAGCTATTGAGACAGAAAACCAGCAGCTTACTGTGTCTAATTGCAAATCGCTTTATCCCCAAAGCTTTTTTGTTATTAATTTTTTAAATCTGAAGTATGATACATTGCATAATCATAAATACACTTGTATTAAGTGTTGACATTTTCCGTAATACCTTAGGAAATCACATTAAAAAGAGTCATTATTTTTGCTCCTATTACTGTACAGATTTGTACCAATCATGCAAATACAAACACAAGAAGCCTTGTGGGTGTTCATTAATAACGCTTATTTGCTTAAGATATTCATGTCAAAGTAAATATTTGCAAAAGCATGCTTTATCTATTCACAGTGGGAGTATGCAAAGCAATAACACGCTGGTAATAGCTATTATAACACACAATGAATTTTTTTAGTCTGTATTTAATGTGTGCGATATCACAAACTTAAATAAACACAGATTATGTTTGCACTCACCACATACACTCCTGGGCTTCCTGCTGACAAAAAGATGATTACAGATATAGTGAATTTGTAGATTTGTTCGAGTTTGTATCAGTTTTCTGGAAAACAAAAACAACAAGCAGATAAGTGAAAAAGGAAAAAAAAAATTGTCTACGGGGTTATTAAAAAGAATCATATTTCCAGCTTGCATTGCTATAAAATTTGCTGACCTTGTGCATATGAATAACTCCTGAGAGTGCCGTTGGATTTTTTCAGGTCAGTGTCACACACGTGCAGAACTCTGCCAGAGTTTTTGTGCCATTTACACATGTGCAGTCATATACATCACTGTGAGATGAAACAAGTGTGTTTTCGTATTTTCAAAATCCGAGGAAACCAGGGCATCCAGTATATCCAGAGACCTGTAAAAAAGCACTGGAAATTGCAAACAGTTGTGGTCAGACTGTATCACTGAGCAAACTAGTCCAATCCATTTTGGTTTCAAATAAGGGTTAAAATGATTTTGAGGTTAAGTCACGCATTGCCCAATGACATCTGGCAAATGTGGGTAATCATGTCTTCTAGTTGTTTCTAGTGCAAGAGAGGTTGATCTTTAGTTACCCCAGCCTGCTTGTTGTTGCCTGGAGTTAGGCTATTTCTTTTCATTTCCAAGCACCTCAGGGAGAATCTCAGTTGCAGTTTGTCCAGGTGCTTCATAACCTTATTGCCTTTTCATAGTTTCTCTGATCTCAGAACTGGGTTGTGCATTTATGTTTCATAGAGCCCTGACTCTCCTTCTACTGTCCCAAATCTTTTCATGAAACAGGAGATGGAGGTGGCTCACCCTTAGCAGATGGAAGATGGCTATACCTCAAACAGCATCCAGTTAGTAGCAAGGTTAGTTAAATAATTAAAAAGTTCATCTCCTGCATTCTCATGCACAATGTTAACACACCAGTGTGTGCTCTGTGGTATGTTTTATGTATGTTTTGTGTCACATGCATGTCACCTCCCCTCCCTTTTCAGTGCAGCTTACTGTACCACGCACCAAGGGCTCTTGTTAGGGCTGGTGTGTGGTGACAGCCATGCATCCCCTATTCACCCATGGTGAGAGGTGCCTTTTCAGAGGTCTGCCTGTGGATAACTTCAGTGTCACCACTTCAAATCAAGAGCACTATTTAAAAAAAATAATAAAAATTCATCCTGGTAGTGTGTGGGCAATCCATCCTGAGCAGGCACATAGGAGGGTACTGTCTGGAATTTCATGTCCACACAACTGTGGATGTGAAATGCTCTGTATTTCACATGCTCACCACTGGAAAACAAGAGAAGCAAATTTAACTGGGCCCACTATATACCCATCCAGGACTGACTGCTGCCCTCAGCTTTCAACAAGGCTGCTGGGGAAGCAGAAAGTAGACAGACAGAGGCACCCCTTTGCTGAAAGCAGTGTTGCCCAGAATTCACCATCAGCGAAAAAACAGAGGCCCTTCTTGTTGCATTCCCTCCCCACTCGTTAATCGCCTCTGGTATTTAACTCCAAGACCTGCACTCAGTTGCCAAAAACACTATTTGATTGAATGAGCTCTTGCAATTAGTATTCTCAGTACATACAACAGCTAGGTAGAGAAAAAGGGTGTTAAAAATGTAAGTTAAACTGCAGGATATCATAGGGAAACTGGAGTCTTCGAAGTGTCAAGAGATGGCACAGGGTGACATACTTTGGAATAAATAAATGAAAAAAATAATAAAAAAGAGGGGCTAAAGTTGCTCTGGCAAGGAGAGCCTGTGCTGGTTCTGGGAAGCTGCAGCGCCAGGACAATGAGGTGTCCTGAGGCTGCCAGGGGACTTCCCAGCCCCGGCAGCATTAGTATGTGTTGGCTGTTCTGTAGCCTACTCAATATGTGCTGGTAATATTAATCTGGGTTCCCCAGCAGCAGGTGCCTCTGTAAGGCTCTCTAGCATGATTACTTGGTACTCTCAGTAGAGAACACAACAGATTATAAAGTTGTTTGAGACTTAATAACCTTATGATATCCCATTCGCTGTCGTGAAATGAACACACAATGAAGAATCTCACTAATATTTGGAATTTCATTAGAAGGGGATGTCTGTCCCCTTCCCAGAACTCTAAATTTGGGCTTACACTTCAGTCTTTCCACCGGCAGGAGAAAATTTGGCCTGACACAGAACTCCATTAAATCAGAACGACTGCTCATGTGAGGAAGCAGAGTATAAAGAGGACCCTAGTTCCCATTTTTCTGTGTCTAGGTGATATTTAGAGCCCCTGTGACATTGAAACAGTCACCAGTGCATCCAGAACAGAGCTAAAGAGGCTAAACTGTCAAGTCTTGCAAAACCTGTCAAAAGCTTTGCCAATTCCAAACAAACAAAAAAATAGCTAGCTCGGCAGAAGGCCAGGCTGAGGCTGAGCGAGTCTGAAACGTGATCCATGCTCGGAACTTCAATTAGCTCCTCCAGGTTAGACGAACAGCCAGGCTTGTTTCACTGCATATTGTTAAAAAGCTTGCATTAAGCACAGTGAAAGGTGATGCACGAGTAAAGCAGATACACAGTATCCATCTGGCATCTTGTATAGAAACTCTTTAAAAAGTCAAAATTAAGTAAAAAGTGTATTTATGCATATAAAGTCACATTTTGCTGTAATGAAACCTTGCGCGTGTCTGAACACACCCCTTTTACCTATTGCTGAATGGTGTCTTCTTCATATTATAACTGCTTTGTGAAAGGATGTTGCGTTAGAAGGCAAACCTCTCTACATGGGGAAAGAATTTGTCCCAGAAACAGATTTTATATTTAACCTCACTTCAGCTTTGACCAACTGCATTGATTATTTTGGGGGAAAATAAGGAATATTGGACTCATCTTCAGTTAAAAGAATTCAGGACATTTTGATAAGCTGGAATAACTTTTTTTTTATTCTCTGTGAAGGAGGATTTTCAGGTGTGATGATGTATGGCTTTTAGCTGAAATGTATTGATCGAGGTGGTGTTGGTTATACAGTACAGGCACAGTCTGAGAATACAATATGGTTAGTTCTAAATTCATATAGAGATGGTATGTTAAAAATAACAATTAGGATGCTCTTAGTAGTAAAGAAACTTTGAAAGGACGCATTCTTTTTTCTTAATATTTTTGCCAATCAAGACATGGCTTGTTTTATATAGATTGCCTGTAAATCCATGTACCAGCTAATCGTTTTTAAAACTGATTTGTTACTTAATGGGTATCTAGTCTATGGAACATACTACTGCAAAATATCACTGAAGCTAAAATGCAGCAGGACTGAAAAGTATCACAATTTATTTCTATTTATGAATACCATAATTAACCAAATATATTACAAATATTTTTTAAAAAAAGAAGAGTTTGAAGGAGAGACGGAAAAGGATCAGATTTTATACCTCTCTAATTGTGTAGAGGAGATTTCTTTGGAGGTGAGTGACCTGGTGCCTCTCTCCTCTGTGCTGTGACTAGGTTAGTATTGACAATGACAGGTACCAGCCTAGGTAAACTAGTGAAATTCTGGGAGACAGAATTATTTGTGATCTCCTCCAAATCTATAAAAATTGCCAGAAATGAACGTGCCCCTTTGTGTTTGCTGACTGTTAAGTTGGGGTTGAGGTTAAACATCGGTGTTTAACTTTCAGGCCCATGATTTATGGCATGTTCTACACTGTGTATCCTATGATAAAAACACAGGATAGAGAGCAACAACGTAGAGTTTTACTCCTAGTTACTGGAATTTCCTCCAAAGTTCATAAGTTCACAGTAGGAAATATGTGCTTCTATATTTTTAAAACCCCAGGGACACAGCAATTAATATGTCATAAGTTTGTGTTTTACAAAATACACTATCTGCCAGAAGTGCACTGGATGTTTTCTTTTGGAAGTGAAGTCTTCTTGCCTAATCTATTCTATCTTCATCTTCCAGCTGCCTTTTTAGTAAAGCATGAGCTGAAGAAAACCGAAACATTAACTTTATTTTTTTTGTTTTCTTCTTTCTCGTGTGCTATTTTTTCAGTGTTCTAATGCAGCAGCACACCAATAATTCAACAACATTTTAACCTAATAAATTAATGCCTGATGTTCACTTAAAATAAATGTATTGCACTGAGCCACAAATACAGATGTGTGATACACGGCTGACTGTGTTCTCCATCTGCAGAGCCTTTCCCCAAAACTGCCTGGTGACATCCTGTAGATTATTCTGCCTCGGGGGGGTCTCACAAAGCCTCTGCCTAAGGCAGGTATTAGCAGTGGGCACCACGTCCATGAAGCAGCAGAGTAAAGCAGCTGATGGGGAATTATTAACGGCGGTTGCGTCTGCCTGTGAACTAATGAAAAATAAATACCGGGAAGGATTGATTTAATCTGTTTATATAACTCACTTTAAATTAACTTGCAATTAGGCCCTCACCAGGAATTACTGCGTGATTACACCCTCCGGCTACCTAATACAAGCCTGGGCTCTGGGCAAGGCTGTAATGGAATGAGGAGTGATGGGGTGCAGCTCCCAAAAAGGGTCCTTTTGGGGCCACCCCGGCGAAATGCCAAAGCAAACCACTAGAGGGAACTCGGCCTGTTCCCTACTGGACCCGGCACCGCATTTTCCCTACTACTCACTGACTTGGACCTTTAAACTATATGCATTTGCCTACTTAAAGCTATATGCATATGCTGTGAAGACGCCTGCCACGGTAACTCCATCCGTTAAAGCAAATGTACCAGCCTTCTGTATCACACACGACATGTTTCATCTTTTATATTGGTAGCAATGCAGTTTTAAAACTTTTTCTCCCTTAATTCTTTTCTTTCCTCATCGTTTCTTTGCCTGCGTGGTGTCAATGTTCTCTGGAAGTGAACCAAGAAGTGACTGACTGTGCTCCTGGTTACCAGCGGCTGTGTAAAATGTGTTCCTTGCATTTCTGGCAAGGAAGGGACTTGGGAGTAGGAAATTAAGGAAGGGTGGAGACTTGCTAGAGGTCCTTGAAAGTTGAGGTCAAGGGGGCTGGCTGTAAGTGAGGAAGACAATATGGAGAAAGGTTTCTAAGCAGGCAAAGAGCTTCTTGCTTTGGTCATCAAGTATCAGCTTCCTGCTCCTTCATCTTCTTCAGTATCTTACGTCTGCCCAGAGGGAAAGCACCGTCCTTAGGGCTCAGCCCACACAACCATCTCAGTAACATTAAAAGTAAGCAAAGCTTTTCCTAAGAAAATTGTGACTAAACTGACATTTGGATCGAGACTGCAAGGCTGGATCAAGGTTACTCTGACCCTGGCCCCTACATCTTCACATTGTGTCTCTGCAGCATTTGAAAAGCAGGGCATGTTTGTGTTAAAAAATGATACAAAAATGCAACAGTTTGGAAGAGTGCAAGTAATAATGAATTAAAAAAAGAATATAAACCATAAGATCCTCTCAAAGGAGCAGTGCAAACTCTTACCTTAAATGGCCTAGGACACAGCCAGGTCAGAAATGTATAACTAACTCCTGAACCATCACTGAAAATGCAGAAAGGCTCCATCCTACAAGCAGGAGGCTAAGAAGAGGTGTTTTGGACACATGCAACAAGCGGGGGCTGTACTTGTGATAGGCTCGCAATCAGTAGACCCAGCCTGGCAAATGAGATGAAAAGCCTCAGCTCACGAGTCTCAGAGCTGCAGACTGCATTTTATCTTCCTGGCGTCTCCCCCTGCCAGCAACCAGCCCAGCTCAGACCTCTCAGGCTTCCTATCTCTGAGGAAACAATCCTTAAACTCTAATTGCTTAGGATTTTTGAGCTGTGCTTGGCAGATGAATTCCATGGTATCTGTGTGGACCAGCTCATCAGAGCTGTTTCTAGACCTCCAGGACCTTGGGTGGGGTATGTTATGGTTACAGAGGCTGTGCTACACGCTTGCCAGGTCAATTCATACTGTGTTGACAAGAAAACATCTCAAGAGAATTATTGCTTCTTGTAAAAATCTAGCTGTCCTTTAAAAAAAATACATTCTGTCTTGGAGGAAACGTCCTCTGGACAGAGCAGATAAATGTGGCATACTCAAACTGGCTTTTCAGGTGAAAAAAATTTACATGTATGAACATTTACAGGGAAGTGAGGGAAACTGAGAATGATGAAATGTGTTTAGGGGGAAAATACAAGAAGATAAACTCGTAGCTGCAGTGAAAAGTAAAGAAAATGGATAGTTGGGGAAAAGGATGGGAGGGCTCGAGGTCTTAAGAAGGACTGGCTGGTGGTAGAGAGAGACTGGGTCACCCACAAACTTCACCTTGGCCTCCTGTGGGAAGATCCTCTCTCTTGGGAAAGACTGGGCCTCTTTCTGTCTTCCCGGATCTCATGAGAGCCTAAAGATAAAGCAAATGTAAACCTGAGAAGCTGTGAGGAGACACAGGGACGCCCGCGGCCCTCTGAGCCAGCTGCTGCCTGCAGGAGGTTTGCAGAGCAGCGCAGAGCAGCAGCCAACAAGCCCAAACTTCTGCCTTATCATCAGCCTTCCCACTGCTGGCTGCGGGGAGAGGACAGAGAGGATGAGCCCAAAGGGACAGCGGTGCGTGGAGAGATTATATATTGTATCAAAGGGTCAAAAGCAAGGAGAGGGAAAAGTAGAATCGTCATCTTTCATGTGCAAATTACTCAAGCTGTCGTGTAATAAAACAGTACGCAACACCTAAACGCAGCCTGATTTATCTCAGCAGAACATTATATTAATTGCTTTTTAACATATTAGGCAGCAGGAAGACTGAAAGACCACACCGCAACCATGTGTACGAGCAAAGGAAAAGGCTGGCTGGAGCTCCAGAAGCTGTTGGTCCTCTTCCTGGGGTCAGTGAAGAGCCTGCTGAGTGATCCGAAGTGAGCTAGTTCCCTTCTGCACGCCTGTTTTTCCAGCTGTAAGAAACATGAAGGCTGCTATCACGCACCTACATACTTTATCTGGCCACTTCTAAGAACCTGTGGAAACCTGAGAGGAGTGAGCACTTGTAGAGCACTGTGTGACACCAAAAGCAGTGGCAGCCATGAGGGATGCTGTGCCAAGGTGCAGTTTCTACTCACGAGTAACAGGTACCGATCAGAAAGAAAAACTCAGTCACAAGACCTGCCAGTTCATATTGTCTTTCCCCGGATGGTCCCGGTCAATAAATGGTAGCCAATTGCATTTCCTCTAGTCATTTAAATTCCCCAGATTTGCAGCAACATCAGATACTTTGAGAGAGAATTTTTTTCTTGCAGTATCTTTCCTTCCCACGTAATTCAAAGGCGACATCTATGCTGCTTCTCTCTTATCTCTTAGTTGACCTTGTTTTTCAGGGTGTTTTTTTCTACCTGTCTCATCGATATTTTTTTTCCCTATCGCTCTTAGTACAAAAATGTATCAGCACTTTCTTTGGTGCTCACATACAAAGAATGGCTACAAATCTGCACAAGGTCTATCAATTTACTACTGCATTAATTCCTACAGTGACCTATCGATATTCTAAATATGACAACATGCAATTTCGTTATATTCTGATGCTACGAATGCAACTTACAAAAGCTTCATGCTATATGTACACCTATAAACAAATTACAGATCTCAAGCTATATATTATTTTAAGTAAGGGCACATTTTATTCTTTCTCGTGCAGCTATGTCCCTGGGGAATAAAGAGGCAAGATTCAGGTGATGAGAGACAACAAGAGAAAGGCCTGACTCTCCATACTAAGCCCTTCATTGAATGAAGCTCTAGGCCTTGTTTCAGGGAATAAAAACCAAAGTAAATTGTATTTTGATGGCTGTTGCTGTCACCACTTACAAGGACATTTGCAAATTAAGGCTCACAGACCTACCTGATGAAAGCAAATGACAGAAGCAAATGACACATTTCACAGAAATAGCATCTGCTCAAAACGTTATGCTTCATGACCCTAGGAACAGCAAAATGGCAATGATGATGACACCACTTTTTGAAATACAGACAGCAGTATGCTGAACTACAGCAAAAGGAGAGTCCTATAAATACAAGAAGAGTCCTTGATCCCAAAATACTCCCTCTTTTTGGTATAAATTACAAAAATCACACCAATTTACCTACCAGTGGCAACCTACGGCCAATAAGTCCAATAACCAGTGTCATTCTCAAAGCAAAGACAAGGGTTTATCAACCACTGGGACTAAATGAGCGCGTCTGCCACACACAAACCTGAGTACGTGTTACTTGTAGTAGTGTCCCTAGACCACCCTTCAACAAAAATACCAGTGCAGCGCTTCCAGCAGAGTCAGGGCTTTATAAAATCTAAAAGGCCTATTTTTTGGGAGTTGAGTAAGTGGTATTTTGTCACCTCTTGGGAAAAGAAGCTAGAGAGGAACGCTGACTTCAGCACAGGGGAAGAAGCGTCCTACCTCTGCCAGGACAAGTTCGCCGTGCAAATTGATTCCTGAGGATTATTTTCTTGAATTCAGCTGAATTCTTGACCTTCCTGCCGTAGCTCTGATAACATTCTTCTACACTTTCAATGCAAAACAAAAAGTTCACAGCCCCCTGCGTTGTTGATAACGTTCTCCTGCTCCGCTCCAGTAGTTACGTCCTTTTATTGCATAATGTACTTCTCCTTAATTGATGGATGTTCCCTTCATTAACCTTTTCCATTGAATCGAAAACTAAACGTTACTCACTATCAAAAATATTTAACACTGTGGTTCCTGTTCAACAAGGCAGCATCAATTTTTCTTAGTAAACATTAACATTTTACAGCCTTTGTCTTTTACTTGCTCACCCATCAGCCTCTTCAGGGCAAGGACCAGCCTATTCGTATACATAAAACCTTAGAAATTACAACAGAAAACGATTCCCCTTAAACAGTTCAGTCAGTCAGGTACGTATTATGAAAAAAAAAAAAAAGAATGCATTGTGAAACCAAAATTCAAAAAGTACAAGGGGCTGTAGGCAAAAATAAGGAATGTGTTTAATTGTGTGACGGAAGTGTCGAGACTTCTTATGCAGAAATAAAGGTGAACTTATTTCCAACATTACAATGGAAACCAATCTATAATCTTTAGGCTTCATATAATCTATAGGCTTTCTGTTTGATCTCAAAACTGGGTAAAGCAGAACAAAATCTTGAATTGTGGCAGGTATCAAATGCTTTCTAATGCAAAAGCTTAAAAAACACCCTCTGAAAATAATTGCAAGAACTGCTTAAAATGACACCACTTGGTTACAGTATTAATCAGCTGAAATAAAATTCCATTTATGGAGAAAGTCCCAGCCTCATGCAGACGCTACTTAAGAATTTAACAGCGTCTCCGAAGAGACACTGGCGTAAGAGGAGTTCAAATGCACCCAGGATTTCTAGCTCCTGTTGCATTAGGAGACAGAGGCATTTTAGCTTTAGCCGAGCACCAAGCCAGCCGTAATTAATGAAGCTGTCTAATGGGCTGAGACTTAGCCACGCATGAAAACCCAACAACAGATCCTCCTGCGCTCCGTGAAAGCTCATTTTTCAGGACTATCATCGTTAACTCACAGTTGATTCCCCTGCCCTTCTGCAGAGCCTTGCACTGAGGAGGACCGTAAGCAGGAAAGATTTTCGTTAACTAACCAAAATGCAGCACCTTCAGTTTCCTCACTCTGATTGAACTCATTAATAGATGATTTACTTAACTCCTGCAGAGCAGCCACACCAGCATCTGATCATAAAACACAGAATGATAGGGGGTTGGAAGGGACCTCTGGAGATCATCTAGTCCAACCCTTCCAAACATCCACCAGGTTAGTTCATTTGCTTCCTTAAAACGCTGTTCACTTCTAAAGACATTAGACTGCATTATTGCAAAGAAATCCTCCAAACATTAATGTTTTTCTTTCGCTTACTGGATCCAAACCTCAAATAGTATGTTTGTGTAATACAGTGCCTCACCTGCAGGGAACTGGGACATCTGTCAAAGCAAAGGAAACCTCGAAAGTGAAAATCCTGTAGAAAAATAAAGGGAAAAAAACCCACCACATTGGAAAGCAGCAAATTATGTGCAGAAGATGGTGCCAAGAGATAACCACATCCTGATTTTTCAGACGATCTTGTTGAAGCCTGCACTGCACGTAGGCCTGGTTTTATAATCCAGACCATCGGCCAGGAAGGGACTCATCCCAAAGACCTTAAGATAGAAACGTGGAAGTGCTCCAAGGCTTCTGCCAGATCACACCAGGACCGGCTGTACTGATGCACAAACAAGCTAAATGAGCTTTTTTTTTTCCTTTTGCACTGTTTGGAAAGACCAGACCATACGTTATTATCTTACCCTGTTAACCTGTATGGACCAACAAGGTATGGAATTTTTTTAAATTTTTCAAGACTTCAGAAGTCTCATCTAACAGCTTTAAGAGAACGGGATGAGGAGCCAAAAACTATGGGCACTTGCATTTAATGAATTTTGTAATGCCCAGGGACACGTCAGCAAATTGGGGTGAAACAAAGAGGTACGTTATGCTGGTAAATTTTGTGGAGGATCAGTCATGATTCAAACCATGTCATTTGATGTCAGCTCCAAGGGGGCAGGGAAGAAAAGAGGCTGATAAAGAGAGATAATCATCAGAGGGAAAAAGAAAGGATACCTCCTTTTATGCAAAGCCAACCTCCACGGCTGATGGCAACTCCCTCTGGTCAAGCTGGTTATCAAGGCGATCAAAAGGTCAGCTGAAAAAATTAAACATTCCCTAAAGCTACAGGGAATTGCTAATGGCATTTTCCTTCCTGCTTGATAATATTTAGGAAAAAAAGAGAAAAAAAACAACAAAAAAAACCTTCCACACCAGTAGATCAATACAGCACATACCAAATATAGTTAACTGGGGCTCACAGGCAGTTTGAGTCATCTGTAGTGAGATTCCACTAAAATTTGCAAAAAAAAATCTAAAAAAGGGTTTCTGTTCATTTTTAGAAGACATGCTAAACTATGGAGTATTTAGATTAGGCAGCAAACGGGGCTGTTGAAGCCACACATTTCCCTTCAGCACATACCACCTAATCAAGAAATAAAGGTGTATTTTACAAGATACCTGGAAGTCTTTAGAGTGGACCAAGAATTTTTGCAAGCACTCTTACCTTAGAGCATATATAGTTGAACAGCCTAATAGCATTGTGATGAAAAATTCTGCAACTATAGAATTCATTTCTATAAACAAAGCAAATAAATTCTGTTTTTTGACCTGTCCCATTTCAGGGCTGTGTTAATGAATATGGTCAATCCACAGGCACAGAAGAAAGTGATGGTACAAGGATAAGGATCCTAAAATAACACAGGCACAAAGGAAATATTTTTTAAAAACACAAGCAATTTTTAAAGAGCTATCAAAACTCAATTATTTGGATGCTTAAAGGCTGAAAAAGACAAAATGTTCCTACTGATGCACTAGAAAGCAACCCAGTATTTTTAAGTTCATGTACTTGAATTTCAACAGACACATACACACACAAAAGAAAAACAGAGACATGCTTAAGGGGAGGCCAAATTGTTTTATTTAATTTTTTAGTGACCAATTAAAATTGTTGGCAGAAAGCTCTGCTCTTTTCTTTTTTTTTTTTCTTTGTTTTTTTTTTTTTTTAAAGAAATCAGCAGTGCTCCAATTGATGGGTTGGAATTTTTCTCAAATTCCAGTTAATTTTAAAAACAAACAGATGAACAGGAATTCCAGATACTGTTTTCCAGAGCAGAGAGCAAAACTTCACATTTGTATGAAAAATTCCATGTTTGTACTGGACTGGGACACAGAATGTAAAACTATTGTCAGTAGTGCATGAATAAAACATTCACATTTGATCTGGAACTTTAAAATCAGAAAGCTGTACTCTCCTTTCGAAGTTTTCATTACCTTGTGCAAATCAAGTCAAGTCTTCATGTGTCAAGCACACACTTAAAATTGTCCATATTTTATATACAAGACATCTACCATTCAGGCAGTGCAAAATACATCCTTTCATAACAAAACTAAAATGTACCTCTCAAAGTATGAACAAGAATATACACATAATACATGATGTACACTATTTACACAACCATAAAAAATATAATACAAGGATTATTTTTTTTTTTAATGTGATTATAAGACTTGACAAGTCTTTTGCAATTTTTTTTGTTGCAACAAGGCATGTTTCGAAGTTTCCTGGATGTGGAGTTTTGCCAATTCCTCAAAGAGATCTTGGAAACTACGCTTGAACTTTTAGGAGAGTTTTCAAATGGACCGCCATCAACTCCCTGTTTTGGTCAGACGGTTCAGCTGTGCCACCCACCCAGTGGCTGGGAGGCTTTGGAAGGACACTAGGAGATGGCGGGTCACTAAATTTTGCCCCAGCGTAATTTTCTTTTTGGTTCGCTTCGGTTAGGGTGATAGGTTTCTTGGACTTGGCGTTTCTGAAGTTCTCTGTGTTTTTAAGTGGCTTTTTCTCCTGCTTCTGAATAATTTCCGGCGATACGGAACCTTGCCAAAAGTTCTCGATGTTTTTGGCCGAGGTGATCTTGGTCAGGGGCGCGTTGCATTTACTCTTCTGCCTGTTTATCTTTGGTTGTTCACACAGATGGAAACCGTGAACGGGCTGGCCGTAAGGGACGGCAGCCTTCTCAGTCTTTCCCATCTTGTTCTTTAAGAACTGCCAAGAGACAAAAGAATTGGCGTCAACACACCGCCCCCCCCTCTTCTCCTCAGGAGGGGCCTCCAGCAGCGCACAGGCGGGGGGGAACCACTCCAATGGCTGGCCCGCCCGCCTCACCCCGGGGAAAGGGAGGGGGTAATTACGGCTGGGCGGGTAATTAGCCTCCCTCCGGGCTACCCCACGTCTTGTACACCCCCTCCGTTAGCGCCTACAGAGCCCTCTCCGTCGGCGGAGGGGCTGAGGGGGGAGAAAGACCCGCTGCCTCCTCAGCCGCCGCCATGGGGCGCTGCGCCCCGCGCACGTCCCGCCTTGCGCGCGCAGTGAAGGGGGGGGGAACTAGAAGG